CACAATTCATAAACCAAGTACCGAAATAATTTCAGGTTACAATAATTATAAAATAAATTTATTTAAATTATGAAATATGTCATAAACGATCGGTTCAATGTTCTGAAATCAATATATTGTAAATTAAATGAAGTGTTATCATAAAAATAAAATAAATTTTACTTGAGTTAACATTTGTCTAGATTCTTCAATTGTATTTATTACTCAGGTAGAGTAGAAAAATATAATATAATTGATTATAACGCCCCAGATTACACGTTAAAACGTCTATAAATGTCGATTAAGAATAAAGATTGAGGTAATTTCTCGATCAAAATAATATCTAATTTAGCTCCGCACAATAACAACGTAACTTGTAATAAAAGAGTAAATGATATTAGAGATTGTATATAAAAAATACTGTTTAATTATTACTTTACTTTATGTTGAAGGTAATTTTACAAAGTTCAATTTGTATAACAAAACATTTTGGAAGTCTAAAGATTAGTTGTACACTACGAAAAATCTTACAGAGACGTACATACACGATAATAAATACTTCTTCAATAACATTTTACTAACATCCAAAAAAAATACTTAAGCTTTTAGAGGAGATTTAAAATATATATGTTTAAGTATCAATATAATAAAAAAAGTCAAAAATATTATGATACGAAGCGATGTAAAAAACACACGCACGACATTCACCCCGACCCAAAGTAAATTTGTTAAACAACAATAGTTAATTTAAATACAATGGCCGTAATAAAAATTATGTTAAATATAAATTATTTGAGAAATATTTCCGCCATTTTGTTTATTTTATAAGTTCAAAACAACACTTAAAGGTCAATATACTTTCGCACATTTAACAGAGATTATTATTTTCTTAGTTCTTTCTTGGCATATATTCAATTTAAAAAAAGTGAAGTCACTCTTAAATACGTGTTTTTTATAATTATAATTATCGTGAGTAATACTATATGTGTGTTCCCTTTTTATTCTTAAAGAATCCAATCTATTTATGTTATCGTAGAAGAGGAAAGAGCGTCGATTACTAACGAGTAATAGGAAAAAACCGGAGGTAAATGTTAATACATAGAAATTCTATGTATAACATTTTATTTGGAAGTAAAAGAAAATTATTATAATTATTCTAGTTTTATTTCATGTCTAGTATTTATTTTTAGCAACTTATAGTCCTCAGCGCGGCGTGACGTTAGAGATTGGATTGATTGATTATCTATTTCATATGTATATCAGACGCTACATATTGATTTAAATTCCTCAATATATTAGCGTATGTTTTTGACGAATTTTCATTGTTCACTTTGACAATTTATAAACTTTTTTTCTAAACTGATTTAAACGTTGGACAACCGAACTCCTTCGTCATTAATAAAATGTCACAATTGGATCTTTTCACCTCGTCCAGAGATTATTCCGTACAATAAAAAAAAGGAAGTTAGAACATTAAAAAATATTTGTCATATGAACATATGTTTATAATATTTAAAGGATAATAAATAATTGAATGAAACTGTTTTGAAAAGAGAATAAAAAGGAATGTATTTTTACCTCCAATAACTAAAAATACAAAATGAGAGCGAAGTTATATCATGAATGGACTATTTATTTGATAAATAAATTCATAGAATGAAAACAATACAGCTTCCAAACAAATAAATTATTTTTAATTAATTTTTTGATAGTGCAAATTAATACCGACATATTTTAATCGTTTATATATTATAAGATCAAATCAATAATGAAGGATACATTTGATCTTAATCTATCTATATATATAAAAATGAATTGCTGTTCGTTAGTCTCACTAAAACTCGAGAACAACTGAAGTGATTTATCTTATCTTAGTCTTGAAATGTTTGTGTAGGTCCAGGAAAAATTTAAAAGCTGAAAAAAAATTATTCATTTCCGGGAAAACTCTAAAAACATCCTTTATCCATTTCCCATACAAACGTTTTTATGACATTAGATTTGACAATTAAGTAATATGTCAATCATTATGTCACATTTTAGAATACGGAGTTTTATGGCTTAAAGGTAAACTCCAAAAAAATAAATAAAAAATATTTATTTATTGATTGAGGCAGTACGAGGTCTGCCGGGTCAGCTAGTATAAGAATATTTTCAATACTATCAAAGAAACAAAATGACATTGACTTAATACAAAATAAAAAAGTTAAAACGTCAGTCGTAGATGTCAGTAAAAAAGACAGTGGTTTATCTTATTAGTCTTTTTCATTGGAATCTGTCCGTTTATGAACTCTTTACTGACTTCCTATAAATATTAAATCGATTTTAAGGTTATTTTTAGCTAAAAAAAACCGGTTATAAAATGTATGTTTATTATTAAATATGAATAAAAATACCTAAATATACTATATTTAGACTTATAAGAGATTAAGAGCTGTATATATATGACAATTCCATTGTAATTAAATGTATTTTATTCTGAATGTCAACGACTCAAGATAGTTCAACAACTTTATTTTTTCGGACATTTTGGAAGCAATGAATTGATTGAGAATGGTTTATTTTTTGTTCTTTTTATTTTTTATTTCCACGCCTCGCAATCAAATCGAAAAAACATTACCAATTTGCAACAAACACGTTATATTTAATCTTATAGTAAGTGTAAATTATATTTTATCGGCCCCTCATATTTTTTGTGATTTAAACTAATAATGAAATCATTCGTCTTACATAATATAGTAAGTGTTAATAACTACTTGGGCATGGTAACATTGCGAAATTTTCATAATAATTGTGACAAAGCTGAACCTCTAAGGTTATTTTCATGATGGCTGCTATTCTAAAAGCCATAATAGTTTATTACTCATAAAAATAAAATCGCCTGAAGACATGTTCCATCCTAATCATTACATCACTTCATGCCTGAGTAAACAATAATAACAAACTCACTTTGAATTAAATTTATCGGTACTTTTTGATATGTATGAATGTTTTTTTTTTCATTAATAGGCAATAGAACAAAAGTATGGCACTTTTAGTCTTTAATGTTTTCATTTCTTGTTTCTTCTTAGAATTTATTAATTCAATTAATTCTTTTATAACAAACTGGGTTGTGCTACCTATGGAATGTTTTGGAAAATAATGAGAAGTTTTCTGTGGGTAACATACAGACAAATCGTATAGCAAACAAAAACAACAGAAACTACTCAAAGTGTATTAACTGCCTCCCACAATTATATTAACGCTGCTTGGTCTCATCACTTTTTATAATAGTCTACTGATTTGATAAATATATTTAAAATCTACAATCATACTGAGATCATACTGGGATAACACTTGTAATTTACTTTCATGAACATCTTTAAAATTTTCATTCAAATGATTCACTTAATATTGTTCAGTCATTTTAATAAATTTTACTTGTAAATGTATTTGCAATTGATTTATAGGAATATTTTTAATATCTTAGATAATACCATAAAAATGATAGATCTTTATATTTAAATGTACGTATATGTTACTGCTAAAAGCTGTATAGTTTTATTTGACTGATAGAAAGACTGCAATAAACACTTCAATTTTAAACCATTCAGTATCATAACATAACATAAATTTTTTTCATCATTTCTTTCCTCCAAATAAAAAGGTTTTTTCAGGGACACAGTTTTATATCTTAGATATTGATTTTTCTATTACAACTTTTATGAAACTATTACACTATTTTTTGTAATGAGTATTGTTGTTAGCCCTACGGCGTTTATAGCGTCACAGGGACTATGACACTATTTTTGATTTGTTGTTGTCATAATTATTTGTATTATAGAAATGAAATAGTGTATTAACCTCATTTCTATATATGAACAAAATTTTGCAACATTACAAAATTCAATATTCACACAAATTATAATTGTACATACCCGAAGCAAGTTTGTGGATTCGTTGGAATGAGTTCGCTAAATTTCAGGCTAAATTTCTTGAGTTTAATGTCGATCGAAATATAGTTATGTATGCTGTATTATATTATATATTCATTATCTTGAATCTCAAAAAAAACAAGTTTTAGAGCTTATTGACTAATAACTTATAAAAATCGTTTACAGAACGAAACAATTCAATCATCGTATCTCAGAAACGGGTTACAATGGGTTACGATCTAAAAATTTGTGAATAAATATTTCTCACAAATTAGATAAACAAATATTTGTAATATTCACCTTATATTGTAGCTAAACTGTATAAGCATGAGCTGATTATACTAATTGTATTCAAATGTAATAAACTAAATGGCATATAACTACATTTATTTTACTTATGGACTACATTTCTCCTTTTATGTGCTTTTATTCCAATAACATAATCAATACGTAATGGGACTGTCTTAAATGGACGTAAAATTAATGATTGCTTTGAATTATTTTGTTTTAAGAGAGAACACTGACAAGATTTTATTTACAAAAAGACAAAACCATAATGCGATTATATTAAAAGATGCGAAATCAAAGCTCCTAACAGAATATAATAGCAATGTCTAAGATATTATAAATCATTATTAATAAATAAGATGACTTTAACATCTACTGTTTAATATCAAATTAAGTTTAGTATTTTTTTTTTATTTTTATTAGATGACATATATTAATAGATATTTCCCTTGTTTTAGATCCAATTTATTATGACTTCGTCTGAAGAAATGAAACGACATGGAGTAAAAGGAATAATGAAAGAAAAAAGAAACAAAAGTAGTAAATAAAAGTCAAATGAGACAAATTTGTAATATTTCAAATACTACAAACAAAATGAATGAATCTGGCGAAGTTGATCCTACAGAAATATTCGGCCCTCGACGTGATTCGCTCTATATCGTAGTGCCAATAACAATTATTTATACAATTATATTTATTACCGGAATTATCGGGAATATATTTACTTGCATTGTCATCGTTCGAAACAAGAGCATGCATACAGCAACAAACTATTATTTGTTCAGCTTGGCCATATCAGATCTTCTCTTACTGATTAGTGGGATGCCACAAGAGATTTATTCCATTTGGTCAAAATGGCCATACATATTTGGTAATGTGTTCTGTGTCATACGTGGCTTGGCAGCTGAAACATCGACCAATGCTAGTGTAATGACGATCACGTTATTCACAATAGAGAGATACTTGGCTATTTGTCACCCGTTTGTCTCCCACAAGATGTCAAAATTATCACGAGCGATCAAACACGTCTTGCTTCTGTGGGTGGCATCATTAGCTTTAGCGTTACCTCAGGCGCTACAATTTGGTATTAAAGTTCATAGAGGTGTAACTATGTGCCTACAGACAAGAGTTATTCTAGAACATTCATTTGAGATATCTACATTCTTTTTCTTCTTTGCACCTATGATATTAATCACTGTGCTCTATTCTCTTATTGGACTTCGGCTTTATAAAACAAATTTAGGAAAACAGAATGTAGAAGGCAGACAATTACAAAGACATACCATCAAAGCGCAGTCAATACATAGAAAAAATAGCACGCAGTCTACAAAACGGGTTGTGAAAATGCTTGGTAAGTGGGATTTTTTATTCATAATAGGATTTCAACCGTATCTTAAGATTCACTAATAATAAGATCAACAGAATAATATAATACTTTTTTTTTCGTAATTACGAGTTATACATAAAAATATATATAAAGCTGGCTTCAATAAACAAATTGGGTATTTTGTATTTGTAGTAGTAAGTAGTTAGTATTATGGTTTACTTCATAATATAATAAACAAAAATAAATTCAAAAATAAATTTCGATTACTTCATATAAAGCGTAGATAACCAAAATGTTGATATTTTTACTACCTATTTTTAAAGCTTTTATAAAAACGATTGAACTACTCTAAACCAAATGCATTCCGCACTTCAAGATGAAGAGAATGTTTTTCTATATCTTTTATATAAATACTACTTACGTATACAAATAGCTCCGGAACATTTCTTACATAAAATGTTAAAAGAGCATTAGGTAACTGTTATTTCTGTAACTTACATTTCTTATATGTTCATGATTTATACAATCGTAACATATCGTATTTTTCCAATATAATTTCATCAAATATTTTCTATTAAAATATATAATTAAAACGGTCGACAACATTTTATGTCAAAGGAAAATATACTATAAAAACGTTTAACTGAACTGAAAAAACATAAATATTATATAGCTACTTATAAATACATATAATAACTGTATGGATAATAAACAACACAATCACATCTTCGTATACACAAACAAATAGTTACAGAGCTCAATAAAATCTACCGCTTTCGCGAGTACACATTAAATTAGAACTATGTTTTTCGGATATAATTCGCGTTGTGTAATATACTATACTCGTATTTTACACGAGGTTTCGACAAACTTGACATGGGAGAACAAGATGAATTTATCTTTCGTGATAAAACACTTTCATCAGTTTTATTTGTATTAGTTATATTAAAACTAAATAAAAGTTTGCATATAAAGTAGTTAAAGTAATACTTGTTCTTAAATATCATTAATTTGACAAATAGAAAATCACGTTAGTAAATTCAATTAGGTACATTCGACTGAAAAGAGTCCCCAAAAACAAAATTAACTGTTTAATAGTAGCTTATATCCCACTTACAAATTGAGATAAATGCATTTTCAATCAAATTAAATTCGTAATGTTTAATTCTTTTGTTTTCAAATGAAAATAGTATATGAAACTGACTAAAAATTAAGATATATGATAAAATTACCCGTGAAGGTTGCATTTGATTCTATTAGAATAATGTGTAGTAATTGAAAAGAAGCTTTATTTCGTGCGTACTGGGCAGTGTTTGACTATTATCCAACTTGATGCCAAGTGGGTAGATAGTCTTAGTCTATTCATAATTTTCCGAGTATAGAGATAATTAAAATTGAACTATATTGAAGACCGACTTTTTTTTAAGATTCGGGTTTTTAAGTTAGCAAAACTTCAAAGATTTAGACACTATACCAGTCAGTAAAGACCACGCAATCACGTTAAAATAGAGGAAAACTCGCATGCACATGTGTTAAACAAACTGGTTTATTACCAGAGCCATTAGATTTTTTCATATAATGTAATATATCGGAAACAATGTGGTCAAAAAGAGAAGACACGGCTTTCTCTTTTGCCGTTTTGAGTAATGTCCAAATGCAATCGCGTCAAATGTAGCAGTAGACTTTAAGACAAAAAGAGTTTCAAATCATAATGGTTAATATTATTATGATTTAATTTCTTAAATGCCTTTTGGTAAGACTTTACGGAGTAGGGTTTTTGGAACCAACAATCGGTTCTTTGCGACTCTAAACATCAACCCGGCTAACTGAATATTCCGATACATTTTAACCTAACTAACCCTTGAAGAATGAAATATTTAGATCAAATTTGGTTCCGAAAAAGGCGCATCTGTTTCAAAACCGTTTAGGAGTCGAAAAGTTATCAATTCAATCTCTGCAGTTTTCCTTTTCCGCCTCTACTAACAGTAGCAATCGTCTCAAAGTTGACTTCGTCAAACTTGCTATGCATGTTTTCAGGTATAATTTGTTTACCACTGAAACATGTCAGAATATAGTTTACTTAATGAAGTCACTCTTTACTTAATGAAGTCACTTTAATGTTTAATGATCTTCTGAATTTGACAGGTAAACTGCAGTTTACGCTTTTCTGGAAAAAAGAATTTATAATTTCCGATTAATTTCTAGCCTTAGAGCCTCAAGAACGTTTACAACTTTCGTCGAAGTAATAATTTGTATACTTGAAACCGGATTCTGGCAATTTTGATTCACAATCTTCACGTTCTACCGTTTCCACATTGAAAAATTGATACTACATACTGAAACTGTTAAAATAAAAAGAAAAAATACTCAATCTGCATTTTAAGACACAAAATAATATAATCTGTGTTTAAAATTCTCTTTGAAATCCGTCCAATTTTTTCAATGTATTATCCAATGTGGGACTTATCACATTTTTTAATATGTATAAATATATCCCAGATTTAAAATAATGATTTGCATTTCAGTTGCTGTAGTGGTGGCGTTCTTTGTGTGTTGGGCGCCGTTTCATGCCCAAAGATTAGTCGCAATATACGGAACTTCTGAGAATCATCTAGCCAAGTCACCAGTTCTGTTGAAGGTCTACTATTTCATGACGTACTTCTCAGGAGTATTCTACTACATGTCGACGTGTATAAATCCTATATTTTATAACATCATGTCAAACAAGTTCAGAGAGGCTTTCAAGGTGAGATGCGAGTAATAAAAAATTTTCTTGTTTATGACGTCTTTCTCAGCTTTTCGTCTTAATTTTTCATCGGATTAAATTAAGCACATACAGATTTGAGATTTCAAAGACCGACTTGAACTTAATTATGATACATGATTAACCATAAATAAAACAAATAAACTTTTTTCTTTTAAATAAAGAAATTATTCAATAGTATAATAAATTTAACAAAAATAAGTAAGAACACTACTAAGTATTTAATAAACATGATGTGCCTTTGGGGCATTCTTTTATGCATTCGTTTTTTTGTACTTATTACTCATTTGAGTTTTCAACTTCATTCTAGACATTTAATCTTCTTGAACGCTTCAAATTATTAACGCTATGATCGTTAAATTATTAAATTCATTTTGTAAATAATTTTCATTTAAAAGAGTACACATATTTTGAGATCTTCATCTAAATAAAACCGTTTTCTCTTTGATTTATTCTTCATTTAACTTATGTGCAATAGTTAAAATTTATATTTCATCTCTATTTAAATTGACTCTATTAATGCTTAATCAAATAATAAAAAAAAATTGCTGCTCAATAAATTCTGTTTTAATAACTTGACCATATTTTATTGGGACTTACAACGAAACACTTTTCTTTAAAATACGTCTTAAATAGTATGTTTCATTCTGTTATGAAATATTTCAAACCAAGTATGTCGGTCATTAATTGAAAATATTCATCAAAATATTAAATGTACACAAAAAAGCAAATTATATAATATTTGAATTCAATAACAATAGTTAAAATTAAAAATAGTAATCCTATCAGAGATGAACATGCACACTTTATTAATGTATTAAATAACACTCCAATTTTATATAAAACAATATTCAGAGTTACGTAATGAGTGGTTTTAATTTTACAATTCATATTTACAACATAAATTGACAAAGAACTCTGCTCAAATATTTAATATTACTTTTGTTCCCAGTGTAAATGGTCTTTGAGTATTAAAATTGTAATCTTGTCTGAGACGTTGTTAAGTGAATCACTGTCTAAAAATGTTCTAAGTCAAATTAGCGAGATAGCTATAGGTTTATAAAGAAGAGATGTTTCATATATATATAAAAAAAGTGTTGTGCTATTTTCACATTTTGGGTTACCCTATTTATTATTTTACCTTATTTTATTTGCTTTCAGAATACCAATTTACAACTGTGTTGCCATAACACTAAACACTCTACTCGTCAAAGGGGTTCCTATAGCACAATGCCATTCTCAAGACATAAAGTACCAAGTGGATCAATACAATCAGGTGAACATTTATAAAAAAGCGATATTTAAAATGCTTTATTAATAGATCGTTTTATTAGAGCAGGCAATATAATAAACAACAATCTATTAAGAGATAGTAAACATAAAATGATATCAATCAATTTTCAATCAAAACTTATCTTCTTAAATATTTCTTACGTTACGTATATTAATAGTGACTGTTTAATTGTAGCTGCATTAGGCCGTTATCAATAGTAATGTATAATTGATTGTTTATCTACTAAGTGAAGTAAAAATTAGAATGATCTCATGAGTTAAAAGAGTACGTAGAAAGATTCTTTCAAACCATCAATCAGCCATACTTTTTAAAAGTTGTCTATTTTCGACATATTTAAATAAAACAGTCTATGAAAGGTGGTAGAGTCTAGCTGTGGTCAGTTACTACAGCTCGAACATGGGCTGGCTCAACCGGGGAAGGACCACCTTCTCACAGAAGATCGGCGTGAAGTAGTCAGTAATGACTGCGTTTCGTCCGATGAGTGAGAGAGCCGGTTGCCCTTTCCCTATTTCCCACCCTTTCCTACCATTTCCTTATTCCTACCCCTCCTTATCCCTAAAAACAACGGCAACGCATCCGCAACAAAGATGTTGCGGATGTCCATGGGCGACGGTAACCACCTTCCATCTAGTGGGCCGTCTGCTCGTTTGTCACCTTTCACATAAAAAAAGTCTATGAAAAGAACGCCATTTGGCTTTAAACTTAACAAAATTTGAAGTCGGGCTCAATTCAAAGAGAAGTGTATAGTGACGTTTGTAATACTCTTTTTCAGGTAATTCCATGAAAAAGGATAAATCAAGCTCCATGACTAAAATAACATATAGAAAAGAAGAAAATCCGATTGACTCAGCAACAATAAGAAATTGGAAAATTTGCGAAAAATGTAGAAGAACAGTTACAACAACCATTATAAGCTACAATCACATGAACTGTGACCACCCAGCAAACATTTTACAAGACACTCGTATAGCCATCGATACAACTTGAACCAAATTGTAATTTAATTAAAGTCTATATTTAAGCGAATGAAAATTCTGTTCGTAAAATGAATGAATTTAAAATTGGTATTAGATAAATGTAACAATCGAACTATCGCAGATAGTTGAATCCTTGAATCTTTATACTGAGAAATTATGCTAAATTGGAACATCAGATAAATCGCAGCCGTTTTTTTATCTGTATATTTTACAGTCTGAAAACACCATCAATATAAAAATAATTGACGGATTCACAATATTATGATAAATTGGAATGTTAACGTTTATAAAAAGCTCATTTCTCCATAATGATGCAATTAATTCATAAATATGTAGAAGACATAAATAACCCAGCGTGAGGTTCGCGTTAAAAATAGTTATTTACTTTTTTGTATTATAAAATAGAATTTTTATAAGAAAAAAAAATGTAATTATAAATTGTTTTAGAATAAAAATCTGTGATTTTTTTATCTTTAGTCAATTTACGAAATTATAAACATTTCTTTATAGTTCGTCCTCATTTGACTTGTCTATTTCCTACTATTATTTTGTATATAAACATTTGTATTACATTTTCTTTTGTACATAAATATTTCTTTATTTTATAGGACGTATATATTTTTACAGGGTAAATTAATCTAAGTCAGGGTTCTCCTTGATAATTTTCTGTTGTACTTTGTTGAATAAAAATTTATTTGATAATTTTATAAATGTTGATGAGATGTAGTTTATATGAATATAGTATTAAGGCGTCTTAGCTATTTATCGTAGGATTTGGTGCGTTCGATCAATTTAATGCGTCCCTAATAAGACTTAACGTTTATGATTCCGTATTAATACCTTTTATATATATAAATTATCCTATTTTTAAATTTAGATTCAATAAATAATTATTTTAAGCTTAGTTTGTTTTATTATAAAATTGTGAATATCGTTTATTATTATTATACTTATCTTCAATAGAATCTACCTACGAGTATAATAAGAAAGTTGAAAGACGGGCGATTGGCTTTTACACTTTAGAATTGAATCTTAAAATTAAACCTGTGAACAATATATATTTTTATATTAATTACATGGTATAGCAATTATTATTAAAGTATTATTATAGCAAGCGAAAAAATTAATGGGTATCCAAAAATATAAAAGCAACGCCTGTTCAAAATTCTTGTATGAAAAAAAAATGTATCATATTACGAGTTACGTTTCTGAGTCTACGAGTATATCTATCATTGCATCGTGGGAAAGGAAAAGGAATTATATAATAAAACTCACAAACCATATAAAGATTCATAGATGTGTATATCTTTACATCACAACAACTATCACAAAGGAAAAAAGGTCCATAATTAATTCAGAAACTCCACATCAAAATGATTTGTGAGAAACAAAAAAGTAGGGAGTAAATATATAAGTTATATATGTATATAACATATAACATGAACTTGACGTCTCGAAGAACTTTAATAAAAAACTTACTGCCTGCCAAAACCTTATTAAGATCCTGTTTTCACTTATTTTGTCAATGATTAGAAACATTCAGCTTCGTAGGGGCTCAAGTTCCCAGACAGAATTGTATTACATAAACTAACAAGTATTTTTTATAATAATAAAAAATAATCGATTGATATCAAAATAAAGGTTCGGAAATAATATTTACAATGGTAGTGAAAAAAAAAACAGAAAATTAGTGAAGCTGACGATCATATTATAGTTATCAAAAAAAAGTTAATGCTCATAATAGTACTATAGATATTTCAAATATGAAATATTGAACAGTCAGTCGACTTTTATTAAATCAGATGTAATTTTTTGGTTTCTCGCTTATTCATTTTAAATAATTGTTTAAATAATTAAAACTAATAATATATATCCTAATGGATAATAAATTCATTAAATGTAATGTTCTTAATACGACCTGTATTTAATAGTACTTTTATATTTCCTTCAAATATATGCAATAAAATAATTGACAATCATTTCAACTTAATAATGAATAGAAACCACCATCATACTGAACGTAAACTTAATCAAAGAATAATAAGAAGACTCTCTCGAATTTTGAAGGCCTCTTAATCTCTTTTAAAATATAATCTTTAAAATAATATATATTTATATAACAAAGGTTTTTCTGTTAACCTCAATGATATTGCCTAAATTGGCTTTAAGTTTGCAATCTATTTTCATAATTATTTTCTTTATCTTTTTTTAGCTTATAATTTAGCTAATAAGTAATAATATTAGCTTATAATCAACATAATGCAGTCACATAAACAATACAAAAGAATCTCTTTAAAAATTTATACACTTGGAAGAATACAGAATCTGGCAAAATTTTCTCTTTGTTAGTAAATAAATTCACTGTTCAATTAATTATTATCTGACGCATTAAAGATCATTTTCCAACAATATTGCTATAAAAAATATTTTCACAACCATGCTAATAAGACAGTAAAATCTAGATACATATTTCAATAACAATCGTCACCTGACATTAAAATAAAAGATTTTAAATTGTTTAGTGAAAAAACTATTCAATGCAAAACAAATGTGTTTTAATATTTGAATCTCTATGTATATTATATATCTATCAGTTCTTGATAGAAAGTGTATATTCTGGTGTATACTCTATTATATTTCCACATATACATTCTACGTAATAAAATAGTTGAAATCCACTTAATAAAACATAATTAAATTAACGAAAATCGATATGGAATTACACTGAGTATGAATTGGGTTCGGTTTTAATTATTTAGTATATATTGTATGTAGACGTAACAAAAAAAGCATAAAATAAATACATACATTAAAAATAATCAGGACTGTATGATTAATGTCACCAAACAGTAATTTATTTTATAATATCTTATTAAATTAAGCCAAAACCTTACGGGAAGGACAAGAAAGAGTTGTCATTTTATAAAATCACCAAAGCAGTGGTGGGTGATGCTTCTTATTCAAATACAAAATATTGCGAAGCACCTCTTGTACGAATGAATAATAATATAAATACTGAATACCATGTGTAGCCAACCTAGACCGGGCGCTGGAGGGAGTTGAGTATGCATAATATGATGACCGCATTCTGTGAATGGTTTTGAACTCAGAAAAGCATGCAGATTATGATTCTGGATGTTGCCAGGAGTCATATTGGTCCAATTTTTTTTACACCCCACCCCCTTAGACAGGTAGTAAATGGCCTGAACACATAGTTTGATATGATTATAACGATTGTTTCAGTGAGAATATTCAATTGGTTTTTACAGCTAGTCCGTTGGCAACGCAATATTGACCTTGGCTACCCCGTAAAGTGCCGTGTTTACTCCTGTTTCAACGGTAACGCGAAATACAAAAAATAAAGATAAAATTCAGGCCATATCAAAAAACTTACTCGGGTAATAAGTCTTATTAATATTCTGTAAGTGGTTACCTTAGTCTTCATCTATATTTATCTATAATAAAAATGTAATAGACCGCTGTCTGTATATGAAAAATATTATTGGAACCCAAAGCAATCATTGTTAGAATTTTTGCGTTTGATTATGTGTCTGTGCACCCGTATCTCAGAAACAGATTATATGATCAGCTATAGTTTTTACTTTTATTTTGTGATAAAATTAATTATGTTGTGGGAGTAGTACTGCATGCGAAGGTACAAGTACTATTACTAAATAACCATCTTAAATCTCAGACAAAAAGTTAGCAACAATGAACTTAACGCTCTAAAAATAAAACTATTTATAAACTCTGACTAAACTCAATAGGGATTGTTTTCCGTAGTTTCATAAAGGTGAATGTTAATATTACGAGTATATATACATATATATATATACTTTAATAATACGGTGCTGGTTATAATGGCAATATCTTGTATAAATCTACCATAAAAATACACACATATTTTTATTATAAAACCATAATACGTCTTTTTAAATTTCACCAACGTCGGGTAAAACGAACATTTCAACAAATATACACACTACACTAGCTGTACCCGCGACTTCGTTCGCGTGGAATAATTATTTTAGGCATCATATTTATTTTTGCAAACAACCTTCTCAGCTTTATAAAATTATAGCTGTTACGACGTTTTCCACGTCAATTTCTGTTATTATTTAAGGCAATTTATTTTAAAGTACTTCTGAACCGCGCGGCATGAGGCACATGTGAATATCGGAGTCATTTTCAAATTGTATTATCTTCTTAATTGAAATTAAGTGATGTCAAAAACAATTTTATTCAGAATTAAATACTCTTAACACATTTATTTGGTTAAAGATAAATATTATTATGTTGATACAACTATAATGATGAATGATGAATTATTACCAATTAATTAATCTGACTTAATCATAAACGATAGACGTCTTGAACAATTTTTTAGATAATTTCTTCTTACATAATAATTCTCTCATATATATTTTTTTGTTATCTTAAACGGAAACCCTCAAAGATTAATAATTTTCACAGTTTTTTTTCATTTTCCATTGTTTCTTCGCATTTACTAGTCGCAGCGTGATGTTATATGCCCTAAAATCTTACTCGATAAATGTTTTATTCAACACAAAATAATTTTTCAATTCGAACCAGTAGTTTTAGCCAGAGATTAGCGCTTTTAAACAAACAAACAAACAAACAAACTTTTCGGCTTTATAGTACCTATTAGTATATTTGTGACGTTAGCTGACAGAAATTATGTAACAATATTTCGAATCCGGAATATATTCAAATAATTACATAAATTAATTGATTGCGTCAAAATATTAATGACTTTTACAAAATTTCCTATTTCTGAAACACATATTTCAACTGCTCTACTAGCGTGGGAGTCTTAATATAAAGGGTAAGTCGATATTGATAATGAACTAATTCAAGGAAGTGTACGGAAATATTAAATTTTAGTGTGCCTGATTAATGATTAGGCATTCCCTGCATAGCTAATGTTAAATGGTGGCATGCTTCTGACAGTCATTGATAGAAGTGCCACACTGGCGTAACGGTCATCGTTCAACCAAAGGTAAGCGTTTTAACCTTTTCTTATAAATATTTCTAAGGAATCTTTAAGAAAATTATATATTATATATAGAATTTTAAACATAAATCTTCCGTATATATATTATTATATATTCAACATTAGCATATACAATTAAGTATATTTAATAGAAAAACCTAAAACACTTCGCTTTATTTTTCATTGCTCGGTGATGATTATAAAATATGAAGGAAATTTTATACAAATTATTATAATATTTTATACTAAATATTATACTCATTCTTTATTTTTTTTAGTTTATTTTTATGTGGGATAAGAGATTAAGAGATGAATCAAAAGTTTCTTTTATATTTTGATATAGATCCATTAACAGAATACTGGATGGGCTTTGTATTAGGACTTATTAAAATTCCAAATAAACGAATACCTACTTGTTTTTTTATACAAACATATAAATTTTTAAAAACGTTCCATTTTCTAATGTTCATTTATTCGCCTTTTTTATGACCTTGTGCATGTTTAAATGAATGGAAATCTTATTATATTCTTACAATTAGGAAGATATATCAATTAATAATCTTGAGAAAATGAGTTGACATACAAAACATTTATTTTTTAATCAGATAGTCGAAGCTACACCAGAGCAAGACCATAAGAAATAATTTGATTAAGGCCTTTAAGGATATCTTTGAAATAAATTGTTATCTTAAAATAACAACAAAATAATAAGAATGTAATAAAATTTTAAATATATAAATATTTATATAGATATATTTGTGTAATATTTTTATACAAGTATAAGTGTTTATTGCTCTTTGAACAAAATATATGGAATGACTTTGCTGAAATATCCGAAATATGTGGTTTAGACCTTTTGACATAACACGGAGGTATTTACTTATCCTTTCATTCCGTGTAACTTGCACGGGAACTAATTTAACTTAATTTATCTAACACATACGATACACTGTTTCATTTTACTCTGAACACAATACCGAAGCAGGCTTAAGCCTAAATTTAAATTATTCATATAACTAATAAAAAGATAAAGTAAGGACTCAACATACATTTATTACCTGACCTTTTGAACTGTTTTTTAACATTGAGTGAACCTTTATCAGTAAAATCACTCGAAACTTGAACCCACTGACCTTGGCACACAAGCAGGTACATACAAAAATATGTTTATAGACGACATACATACATAGCAGCAATTAAATACACTTATTAAAATAAGAAACATAAAACATTTATGGATTTTGTATAGAATTTTCATAATATTAGTCCGCTCTTATAATTCAGTGCGGTACTTCAATTTATTTATACGGCTTCAAAATGAAACAAAACTTCAGATTCTAAGTCATAAACTAACAACTTAACACCTATTTATGCAACATGTAAGCCTTCTCTTATGTAGGTTTCATTTCACTTGAAAATTATTCGATCCAAATTTATTTTGATATATTCTTATGATACTTGAAAATTAAGTGTATTTTTTTAATTATTCAATATTTTTTAATTCATACAATTTTCAAATATTTCACTTTGACGTAATTCTGTCTGATTTCCTGTTTGAAGGCAAAAGGTGAAATCAGCTATTGTATTCAAATGGAGACTTAATTGAGTATTACCATATTCAGAGGGTTCCAATTTTATTGCAGTTGATTATATTTATTTATTTTTTTTCAATAAAAAAAATCGTTACTTTATCCACATGAAACCTACAACATAAAACTTCCACCTGTACAGAAAAAGTCTTTTCTTTTAAGTGTAAATAGCTATTAAACAAGTAAAATTTTGATTTGATGTACATACAAATTATAAATTAGCCTAATTATTTGTAAAAATATAAGTACTTTTGAAAGTCTAGGTATAAAAGTTATTTACATTTCTATTAGGTATAAGAATTCCCGAAATCGCGATCAAGGTGAAAACCTTAAAAACAAAGCAATACTTCTCACAAGCGAGCTATAACAATACAGTAGGTACATGCACGGCCTGGAATTAAGCATATAATTTATACTGTCATACATGAAAGCAATTGTATATTCACAGTAGTAGCTTACAACGTGAATAAGTGTTCACACGCGATCGAAGAATTGTGTTACATTATTACGAAATATTAATAAATCGCAACAGACTTAGTAGTCACATTTTTCATATATTTTTAATGCTGTTTACTAGAAAAGTTTCATATTAACAGGTCGATTAAGTATAGAATATTTTTAATTATCTATTGATTGAAATAAAGATAAATAAGGAATATAATTTTATTTACAGGCAATTATGGAAGAAACACCAGCCTCCTCCGACGTGGCAAAACTTAGTAAATTAAGAGAAGCTAATTGGCCACCAGTACTATTCTTCATTTATATTCACATACTAGCCTTTTTTGGATTATGGCTCCTTTTCGTCGAAGCAAAATTAATGACGATATTGTTTTGTGAGTTCAATGATTATATTTCAACATTCTATGAAGTTAAACTATAAATATATTGAATTTAAATTAATTCAAATGATGTAATATGTAAAACAGTGTTTCTAATATATTTCAAATAATAGAATAAATTACTTGAAATGTTTTTTCAAACAGTGAAAATAAATTAGTGCATTATATTTGTGATTTTATAACGATGTGCACCTTATTAAATTGAATTCAAAGCAATTTATTTGTTACCTTGCAAATTTTTGTAACACTTTATTGGATATAATATAAAAATAATTTGAACATTAGGATGGGCATATAAAATGTATATAAATAAATAAGACAATTAAAAATAATTAGTATTTTTAATTCGTTGTACTATTTTCTATGATAAATTAATCTAGTTATCATGATTTACATGTCTCAAACTTGATAGCTAATGATTACGTATATAATTGACATGTTTCTTACATTTTTCAGTGGTTTTCCTCGTATCAGTGGGAATTCTAGGAATGACAACAGGTGCTCATAGATTATGGGCGCATCGAACGTACGAGGCTAACAGTGGGCTTAGAATTGCATTGATGCTCTTCCAAACGCTCGCTGGAATTGTAACAATTTTTTTCAATAATACTCTCATAGCATTTTGAATGCAATTTTATAATGAATTTATAAAGAAAATAGAAATTTAATATCAATGTTATTCAAGAATTTATATCTTTCAGAGAAAAGTAGACTTTTATATAATCAACATAATTATATTTTTAATTTCTTTTTGAATCTTACTAAGCTATTGAAAATTTTAATAAAATTAACATTCAGACTAATAAGGCTATTATTTCTCACGTTTTTATATATCGTGATTGTAGAGAAATTGCCTGTAAATTTAATTTAACAATCACGATTCGTGATCAAAAGAATCTAAATTATTATTTTTTTAATTCCAGGGATCTATATATGACTGGGTGCAGTACCATAGGTTACACCATGCCCACTTTAAGACTGAGTTGGATCCTTATAATCCCAAAAATGGATTCCTGTATGCCCATGTCTTCACACGTTTCCAGAAACTTAGTCCTCAAATGATAGCATTGAAAGACGCCATTGATATGTCTGATCTTCAAAATGATGGAATTGTAATGTTCCAAAAAAGGTAACATGATTTTCATAACTTGAGAAAAACTATCGTTTTAAATGATTATTTAATTAGTGCTTAATATATTTAATTAACGAACAGAATCTTTTAAGATTTTAATTTTAATTAAAAAAAGATTATTTCATTAAAATATTTCATGATATATGCATAATCTATAATATATTTTTCGGACTAAATAGGCTATTTAAATGAAACTAATATGTTCGGATTTTACTTCGCGTTTTTTTTATTTTTTATTACAAACTACATACTTCCGACGTTTCGGCTACTTTTCAGTTGCAAATCCGAAAATATTAGTTTCATTTAAATGAGTACTCCCGAAAATCTCAGATCTCATTCAATAAGCTATTTTTTATAACTCATAATTATCAATCATAGCCCTGCTTAGAATATAATTAAATTACAATTTCAGGTTCTATTGGCTTTTATATGGAATTGTCTTTCTACTATTGCCATTGAACGCGCCGATGGAGTATTGGGATGAATCTATATTGTCTACTTTCTTCGTCATCGGCATACTCAGATACGCATTCCTACTCCACGGCTCTTGGTTGATTGAAAGCGGTGTCTGTGTATGGGGTTTACAGGAAGGAGAAAAGTAAATAATACCAATATAATTCGTATACACATATATTATACTAGCTGTGCCTTGTCACGCTTTGCTGTCAACAACAAAAAAACAACAAAAAAGTTTAATTTTATAATATGTACTTGTGAGAAACATACAATTATCCTTGTGAAAAGCAATCCACATCCAAATCGAGACCACACGTTTCTAAAGGATGACCTTGAGCTTTGTTATTTATGTATGGGAACGACAATTGGGAATTGCAATCTTTTCAATTGAAATGGTTTATCGGTCGGGATGATCGGAATTCGAGGAATGAGGATATCTTCAACTTTGAAACCCCCCGTTGAAATCGTTGCTGCTACTATGTTGTACATTACTTTTTAACTATGAATCGTGTGCAATTACAAAGTTTCGGCGCTCTGAGCGGTTTGTTAGTGTCGTGAAAAATAGATAAAAACAATTCTTGAAGCGAGTTTTATATCGTGTCAAAATTTCAGCTGAAGCGGTGCAGAAAATTTTGAGTTTTAAAGCACACACAAACCAACTTATATATATACCAGATATCTAAAAAAAAGAATTTTATAAAAGAATTTTTGACAAATTTTAGGTACCCGCCAGATTCCAATACAGTGTTTATATTAAATAGAACATTCTGGCCAGAATACCACTACATTTATCCTCAAGATTACAAATCTGGGGAATTCGGAACTTATGGTAAGCAAATTATTTCAAAATAATCCTAAGAGACGCTATTCCTAAAAATGAGAAGAATAATTTATAACCTAGTTCTGTTGAAAGTTTATTCAATATAAAGTTTTTATTATACTTAAAACCTCATCATCTTAAAAAAATGTTGATGGCTTGTTTTAAAAATCAATTTTATGTCGTATACTATCATTATTTGAAATTAAATGTTTTTTTTGCATCTAATCTCACAGTAACGAGGATAAAACGTATTTTCCCTTTGCAAATAATAAAGTCTATATGTTCAAACAAAACGCAGATGTTTGATAGAAAAATGTTGAAAACTGATCGACTTTTGAATTTTCAAAGACTATTTTTAACTATTTTATTCTTTTATCCAGGCTCCGGGTGTTCAACTGCGTTCATACGAATGTTCGCTGTAATGGGATTAGCTAAAGATCTTCGCACTTTAGAATCAGGGACATTGCAAAAAGCTCTCGCAGAATATGCAAGGACAAAACAACCCTTAGAAGTTTGTTTTAAAAATGCTTTAGAAAACCAAGTTCTACATGAAGAACATTATTTAAAACGTGATTAATAAAAAAAAAACTAAAAATGTCTCGTTATTTTTAACTTTATTTCTACGATAAAAAACAATGTTGTCTACACAATTTTAAACAGTATTTAAACTATAAAACGTCGGATTCTTGTTTGCAATCTTCTTCTATACGTTCTTCTATTTTTCCAACAATATTCAGCAATACCTGTTAGAAAATTTCACAAACTATAAGTTAAGATTTTTAATACACGAAATATAAAAATTTGTCAAAAATCTGTTAACTTTAAAAGTGATTGAGCATCGTGTTTATGATAATTTAATGAAAACTTATATAAATGGAAATTTGTTAAAAATTATTACAAGAAATTGTTAATCAGTTTTGATAATATAAATGACAATACACTAATTAAGCTTATTTCAAAATCATTTTAGCGGTAACAATTTTTACAATTATGTATTTAATTCGAATGTCAAACATTTCTCGGGTGTTAAACGAAACGTGAGAGTTATTCACCTAAATAAAGGTCAAAGGCTATAAAATAATTTAAAGTCAAAGACACAGACATGAATATCAAAGGCCGGCAAAGTGTTCAACACTCCCTATCATGAATATATTTGTATATATACATATGTAGCACGGTCCAGTAACTACAATCAATCAGATATAATAAATAATATAATAAGGAAAAAATTTCGTACTTTCTATGACAAATTTATTACTAAGAATCTTTTATTTTGACAATTAAGGTAGAAAATCGAATGACTAGTCTTTAAATTTCGTACTGATACAAAAGTCTAAAAACCAATCAGTCATTTATTTTTTAATATAGAATTAAATTTATTTTTTTGTCCTTGCCAGCATTCTTGTGAAAAAATTAAAGAAATTAATTTAGGAACCTTATAAGGTAAGTAAATGAAAGAAATAGGATTTGCATTGAAACCAGAAAAATCAATTGAAATAGATTTACTAGACAAGGAGTATTAAAAAATTCATATTTTTATCATCCAGTCAACGGCATTTACGACTCCCATAGATTAAATAATAATTTATCTTTATATACAAGGAGATCGATTAATGTTGATTGTTGATTCCCAAAAAGAGGGTTGATGTCAGGCAGGCGGCCGGTCGTAAAAACAAATAGCCAAAAACTATTCATAGCATGTAAGGCAGACCCTGGCTATAGCTGGGAAATTGCCAGGTAGAAGAAGAAGAAGAAGAAGATACAAGGAGATCGAAAAAATATGAAGAGTCTAGTAAGAAAGTTAATTTTAAAATAATAAAAGGATTTCAATCTTGAAGCAAAACCAAATTTTCAAGCCCAGTCACCATTTATTTTACAGTTTAAAAAATAGGAAAAATTTTTGTTCTTACAGATTTTAATAGAAACACTGAATAAGTTAGAACCACTAACTCAACTGGCAATATTTATTGCTAAGAAATTAATTTAATTTCTTAATTAATTTTCTTTCAATGTCTTTCTTTACTTAAACGAAGTTTTTAGTAAAACAAGCTAACTAAATAATAGTTTGATGTTATTACGACTGAAGCTGAATTGCTATTAAATTTTCTTTTTATTATTTTGGGAATAAAAGTAATTTTTTCGTAATAGTCAAATAACAACTAGTGATCAATTGTAACGAAATTCTAAATAAATTTTACTAACTTATCTAAAACTATTATTTTCGGATTTCAAGGCGTTATTTTATTATTTTACATACACCTGACATTTCGATTACTTTGCAGCAACCGTGATTACGAACAGACGAGATATAAACAAGTTTTTTTTATCCAATAAAAAAAAATAACGGTTAGTATTTCAAAAATAAAAGTTTTATTTAAATGAACTCTAGAGATAGTCTTAGATCTTATTGACTTACCTAATATAATGGAGGCTAAAAGACCAGTAAGGATAACGTAGAGAGCCGTCTGAACATCAGCAGCTCGGGCTGAGGCGAAGCCTGTAGGAGGTGTACACTGAGGCATGCCTGGTACCAGAACAGTCTCTAAACGTGCCAGAGCACCGCTACTACGTATCTGTAATAGACTTACAAACCAAAACAAATATCCATTCAAAACTTCTGTCCATTAACCACTACCTTACTGTCATAAACACGTTAAATTCCTAATATACAGTCCCACCTTATACTAATTTATTTGATAATTCAAGCTATTTCAAAGCTCTATATATAAAGATTTGAAAAGGTCATGTAATATGTATTTTAAAGAACCTAAGCTGTTAATTCTGAATCATAAACTCCGAGACACCGAATTATATTTTATTATAATTAAGTAATATATCAAAGAATTTTGTTTAAGTATCAGATTATTTTCCAAATCTTTATGATACTCAATATTTTGTGTCCATTGCTTTATACCTGATTAAAATCAGCTTTGAGTAAGGTGATCCTCTTGATAAAGGGAAGGCTAATTGGGCTTGGGTCGAATGTACCGGCAACTCACGAAGAGCACATCGCCCTCGAGCTTGGCTTAGTGATCTATGTATGTAATAATACAAAATAACATTTAATTATTACTGAGATTATTGCCTCTACAAACAGAAAGACTTCAAGAAGAAAATGTGTGCCTCCGTTTGTCAGGCCACAAAAAATATTGGGTGGCTAACAATTTAATACCATACACGTTAATATATGTATATTTTTATATAGAAATAAAAAATATAAAAAGTGACACTTAATCCAATATAAAGTATATATTGAGAATAAATCGTTATTGACAATTCAATTAATATTTTCAGTTTAAATTTAAATTACGTTTATTTTATTTACGTCATGTAGAATTGCATTCTGTTATAATAATTTTTATTCATAAAGATTACCTTAAAGTCGAGCGAGCTATTCGCTGTCCGGCAAAGAAGGCATAGTCCTGTTTTGCTGCTCGTACCAACCCTTCCTCAGCTGACAACACCAAGTTCTCGGCTTCCGAATAGCCCCGAATATAAAACGCGTTGAGCTGAGCATCTTTTGTTGACTGTAAATATATTTATCTCATTTTTCAGCTTCAAATATATAGAATAAGAGTAAAGACAAGAGTAATTACTCTTACTTACAATTGTATCTCTTCATTTTACAATAATATAATAGGGTGTTACAGGTTACTTACCATCAAATACATTTGATCGGCGCTGTTTTTGATGTAACCGATCTTGAAACTCGAAGATTGCAAGACATCGGCCACTGAACCAACACTAGCCACCCTCACGGACAGTACTGAGGTTATAAAGGCTGCGTAGGAATTGTATATAACCAGAGCAAACAGCAAACATACTATTAACAAGATGCTTGCTGACGGATTAGGCGGAGTCCATGATCCACCTAAAAATATCACACAATTATGTTATCTACACAGTTATAAATTGAATAAACTTCTGAATGAACAATTAGGTTTACATGAGCTTAAAAGCAATATTCCATCTATCATGAACTTATGTGTTGAATAATTTAATGTTGAGGACAAATTCCGATAAAAAGAATTTAACATTACAATACACAGAAGAAATTATTTTAAAAATTAAATTGGAGTATAACACGTTTCTTTCCAATATATTCTTAAGAGTCATCAGCATATTTTTTATACAGCATTAACCTGAATATATACCAAAGCATATTATTATTATTGAAACATATATTTCACTAATAAAGTACTAAACAAATACCTTGTTGGCAAACAATACCAGTGGACCAGATCAATCCTTCCATGCAGCTCATATGCCGTATTTTCATATAGGCAGCTGTAACTCTGTGTATTAAAATTAAAATGATCGCTGCAATAAGAACCACTAAAAAAACACATACTATAAGCCTGAAGCTGAACGGAGCTAGGAATATATCTCGCACAGCAGACGTCTCATGATGACGAATATAAATACTACACCTGAAACATTTTAAATGTATTTAATATTACATAAAACTTCTCACTACATACATAAGTTGCTCGTAAATCGACGTTTTCGCCTTATTGTCAAACAACAATAGAGCTATGAACTTGAAAGAACAGGAAAAATAACATTTGTGTGGATTGAACGATGAAGGATGTATGTAACGATAAGGGTTCTATCATTCATCATTGTATGACGAATAAAATAAATGATTTCTGTCACATCAGACATGATGCGACGAAAAGAAAACATTGAAGAAACTTGTTAATACAACTGTAAATAAAAGTATTATTTCAAACAGTCACTAACTTAAAATTTGTATACTAACATAGTTTTTGATATCGGAAAAATAAAATCCATAACATCGTGATGAGACGATATTGCTGTAACCGGTTCCAACGCTATATCTACTGAGCCATCCATCAGAGCTCCGAGTAGACCTGTCCAAGCACCTTCATATGTACGAAATCCTAGTTTCCCATAATATCTTGTCACAGACCTTATAAAAGAAAAGTTATTTACCGATTACGATCTATGCCATATCTTAATTTATCTATAATACAGTTTATTAATTAAGAATAATCCTATACATATATTAAAGTGTACCATCAGTATGGACACAATTCAAAAGCAATATAATAAATATTACGTTGCATTCAGTCGTATGGATAAGGTTTGAAGAACATCATCCAAAAGTTCAGGAGCCGATGGACCTTCATTATCAGAGGCAGACTGCGTATCTTCGGAGTAATTACATCTTCCAACTTTGAAATATTCTCCCATAAAATTTCTAGCTTCTGTTGGAAATGGAGACTCTACTAGAGCCATAGATTGATTTTCACTCCAGACACCTATAAAATTAATTATGATTGATACATTTTAAATTAAAACACCGGTTGCAAAACTACATTTTAATGAAAAATCTAATCGGTAATTTCTATGAATTAGGAATCCTCCGAATCAGCTCACCTGAATAAAATATACATATAAAATACATTAAAACCAGTTTTAGAAATATTTAATCCCAGAACATATTGTCATTCATGTTTGAAATAAACATTTCAGTTAAAACTTATAACAAATACTATTTATTTTATAGCAAAAATAATATATACGCATTGTCCAATTAGGTATTGTATATTTTTTAAACATTTTATTTATCAAAAGAATACTTACCCAAATAGGAAACAAACAATGTCGAGTTGTATCGAACTTTAAAATACTGAACTACATGTATATTACTGTGGAATGTATTTAGATTAAAACGATTTCTGATCATATTGATCTCTTTATTTATAGAAAAATTACTGATGTTTGTTGGATGAAAATATCTTGAAGAATTAAATTTTAATCCTGTTCTATATAAAGATACAAGCTTGCCCCCGCTTTGATAAGTTTTACTTCTTGTAAGATTAAGAAGTCTCCTCGTCGTTTTATAGTAATTAACATCGTATTCATTTTTCTTACAATTATAAGTCGTAATGCATCTAGTTGAACTTAATCCAGTTTCATTAAAACTGTTTCCATTCGAAAATCTAACTTTACGATTGTTTTTATATACGAAGTTATCGTCACAGAATCTTTTAGTTTTTTTATTCTGAACGCCTAAATCGGGAAACGTCGCGACAATGTTTTGGTCGAAACGCATTTCTGTTTTATTCAAAATGTCACTAACGGTTTTGAAATCAAAAACAGACTTAGAAACAATTAGCCAATCATAAGACGCCGAATTCATTTTCCTGCTTGTAATCTGAAATCAAAGCATTATTCATAAGACTAGGACCTAAAAGAGTGATTTATTTCCACAATAATATATTACTGCTCCAATGGCCGTAGAACTCAGAGTTTCATTTCTTTTAAGAACAGGATTAAGTATTATAATGCCAAGGAATGTACTTAGTCGGGCCTTTTCATTGACATTTAATGCCGTAGCTATTCCATTAACTCCCAAACATTTCACTAATCTTAAAATTTCCCCCTTGCAAACTGCAAATAAAACATTAATAATTGTAAAAGGAGACTAACCAAATGACATAATTAATAATATTAATGCTTAGAATATACAAAATTATGTTTTACCGTTATTATCCATCGTGTAAATGATAGCTTGTTGCCATCCTCGCCAAACAGCGTGCTCCACAATATACCCGAAAGATGCTAGAGGCAAATTACATTTAGCACTCGCCGTGCACGCAAACAAAAACAAAAAGCATATACGACGAAATATTTTTGTCATTTTAGATACTGGCACACCTGTGAAATGGTTTAAAAAATAAAGTGCTTCCATCTTTAATAGTCGCACCCCCATAATGAATCATACATTGATTAATTTTTGAAACAAAATCAAGGAAATGGAATATCATATTTGTTTATTCGCTGTAGATGGACCGTAATAAATCACTACTTTGTAAAGGATGACTTGAATAACATCTATGCCTGAAAGTCGTGAATAATAAAGTGGGAGATTCGACTGTCAAAGGAACAATAATGTTTACAAATGTAAAATGTTCTCTGATATCATTAATCATCATTAACATGTCTTTGGATATAGTTAAGGTTGTGTCTTAAATAGTATAATAAATAAAAAACTTTACAAGTACATAATATTGCAAATTTTAATAAAGTGTTTCATTGTGTTCAGACGTGATTAAAACCGATGTTAAGAACTAAGTTTACAGCTTGCTGACACGTTTAATAAACAAACGTGTCAATGCAAAACTGAGGTTTCAAATTAAATCACACATTTATATCAACCGTTGAAGTGAAACGGCAATTCATTATTTAATACGAGTGTTATTGATTAATAAGTGATATTGTTTCGTAAGGCATTTAAAAAGTGGTATGTATTATTTTTATATTTATACTTATAGAGCAGTCATAAGTAAAGGATTGTCAAAAAATATTTAATCTTTCTAAATGCAATTAATGTTTAAATCATACTAACAATTAAAGATCTAAAAAAAAACAAAAACGATATAATAGTAACTTTGTTTCAAATATTGTACAAATATAATTTTGTTACATCCTTGTTATTTTTCAGATTATGGATTCATTTGAAAAAGAAAAAACTTTCATTCGTAAAAATAACATATCTGCAGAATATACAAAAATAAAAGACGTTCAAGATGACATTTATATGCAAGCATTACCGAAAAATGAATTCAAATTCCTCTCATCGATTAGACGATGGGAACGAAAAATGGGATTTATTACACCAATAAGATGGACAAATGCAATTTTAATATCCCTCTTTCATATCATGGCTGTAATTACATTCCTTTACACATTTTCCGCTGGGATGGTACCGACGTGGGAAACTGTGTTTTTCGGTAAGTGAATTATTATTACATTATTCATGTTTTAGTGACCAAAAAATATATTTACTAATAAAAAAATCAAATTGTCAAATACTTGCATGATGTATGAGTTGACTGAAACCACATTTAACTCTTCTTTAATCTAGGGTTAGGTAAAAACGGTATCACGAACATGGGCTGTCTCGACTTGGGATGTATTACCACCTCTCACTAGAATGTTATGACTTAGCCTTTAACGGCAGCGTTTCGTCTATCAGTGAGGGAGCCGATCATCCTTTCCCTTTTTCCACCCCTTCCTCTTCCTCTGCCACGATCAAAGTCCCTTATATATCCCTTATATTTATTGCATATAACCATTGACGATGGTGGCTACTGCCCATCAAATAGCCCGTCTGCTCGTTTGTCACCTTAACGTAAAAAAAATAAGCTGAATATATAAAATTAATAAAAAAAATAGTAATAAAGAAAATATAATGTTTGTAAAAAATAATATCTTACAAAGTTCTACAATATTGATTGTGGCTTAAATGAAAAAAGATGAATGAATGAATGAATGAATGAATGAATGTCAAAAATAAAAGATTCATATATATTTCATTGACCGGTATATCGAATAAAGCTAGTTAATTGTTGAATTATACCGCAAAATTCTAAATCGTGAAAATGTAACAGAGAGAAAAAAAATACCGTTTTTATACTCGTATAAATTTACATATAAAAACGATTGCGTGTAATATATAAGAAGGTCATTTAGTATTTACCTTTTTATCTCGTAATAAGTTTACCGATTACACTAACAAATAATTAATTCTGTCCTTAAAGCGTCTCCGAATTAGACTATATTGATGGATACATAGGAGAGACAATACATAAAAAAAACAGATGATATTTGTGTATTCAAGTCCAGAGGAGACATAATTCGTTTTTCGTAAATTTTAAAGTTGTGCGTTCTGTTAATAGAGCTTACGGTTCCTTGGGAAACCATACTTTCTCAAGTACATATAACACTTAAATCGCTCTACAACATACTAAAAGACTTTTGCCTGTCTAGAACTAATATGAATTCATTTTTAAAACGTACATCAAAGGCAGTCTAGTAGGTTCGTTTCAAATTCGGTTAGGTAGAGAGAGGAGCTTGGACGGTGGATGTGTTTAAGGCGCGTTAGATAAATCCCCTTAAACCTACACCTAGAGAGAGAGAAACCTACCCCTGAGTCGCAAATCTCAGGCACTGTTGAAGCTCCTCTCCCTGTAACGATGCATCCGGTGCCCGCACGGGAATCCATGGAATGCTGACAAGTTTTCATCTCACTTTCAAACTTGCATGTTTTGTTAATGTTTTTGTCCATAGGTTTCCTATGTGGGTGGATCGGAGGTTTTGGTGTCACCGCTGGTGCTCATCGATATTGGACCCACCGAGCTTACAAGGCCAAGATACCACTACAAATTATACTGATGATTGCGTATTCTGTGGCCGGTCAGGTAAGTACTTAATTTGAACATTTTGCTTCTGTTACGATTCAGTGGTCTATGAAATGAGAAATCGTTCAATCGTTATGTCCAAGAATTTCGCGGGTATTCATATGAATAAAACTAACAATTTCTGATAAAGCAACGTGTTTTTTTTTTTTGCAATTGTACATATAATCCCGTTGTTTCGGTTCGTTTGCAACAGCCGAGATCATGGGCACTTTCATCTCGCCTGTAGTAATATCCGAAAAACTTGGTTTTATTTAAATAATTCAATTCCGTTTTCTTCAGTTTTTAATTCTCCCTTATTAGTAAGTAAGTAAGTAAGTAAATCTTTATTTGGGACATAAATGTTTGACAAACATTGAAGACAAGAAACAACATATAATAAGACTATAATATAAGTAGGTACAAAAGAAAAAAAAAGAAACTTAAACAAAACCAAAATACAAAAAATAATAATATTACAATTATAATGACAAATCTATGTGTTATTAATTCAACCAAAGGACTGCAAATTAACGTATACGCTAGAGGTATATCAATCAGTCATAATTTTATTAAGTCTTTATTCAATTATCTACTTGAATTACTTTATACTATACTAAAAAGTTATACCAACCTTCACTTTTTCTTGCCAGTGACTTGGATATGCTTTTTTATTGTGACATTATTTTTTAGATTATAAATGTGAAATATTTAGCTTTTTGTAACGCTTTTCCTTTAAAGTATACAACAACTTATTGTTTATTTATATTAAAAAACTAAATGGAGATAGGTATATGTTGCTTAACAAACTTCTGTAGTATAAAATAAAGTTACCATAGCAATATTTTTCAAAGTTTAAAATTAATAATGAGAACCTCAAATAAATAGAAAAATAATTATTAAATGTTTGTAGTGGTATCATGTATATATGTGAATGTTTCCCCAAATATAATAGAAGTAGACATATATTATATACCTTGTAAATAGAAGAAACATTCATTATTTTTTTATAATATATTATTATTAATATCTTTGAGAGACAGAGACTTAATGTTTTCATAAGAATAGGTATAACTGAACCAAACAACTATTAAATAAATCTCTCCGTAATGTTTTTGTCCATCAGAACAGTATACCAAACTGGGTCCGAGACCATCGTGTTCACCACAAAATGTCAGAAACGTCTGCGGATCCTCACGACGCTAACAGAGGTTTTTTCTTCTCCCACGTCGGCTGGCTGATGATGAAGAAGCATCCTGACGTCGTTAAGGAAGGGAAAAAAATAGAAATGAGTGATATATTAGAGGATCCCCTTGTTAAGTTTCACACAAAGTAAGTATACCCTACTAAACTACTAATACGAACATATTAACCTCACCTTTAAGTATTCATATTCAATATATATATTATATATACTTCAAAGTATTTTACATTTCTATGACATAATTTATATCGTTTTATTGTATAGGTGCTTTCTCTACACAAAGTGCAAAATACTTTTATATAATGTGAAAAACATGTTCAATTTACGCCATATTTAATTTCAGATATTTCAATACGTTTAAAATACTATTTTGTTTTGTGATACCAATACTGATACCAACGTTAATGTGGAACGAAACATTATTCATATCTGTGACAGCGAGTCTAGTACGGTATATGAGTAACTTGAACTGCACTTGGGCTGTTAATAGCGTTGCACATATTTGGGGACAGAAACCTTATGACATGTAAGTTTCTATATAAAATACGTAAACCATATCGTTACTAGCCAGAACTTTTATACAACCTAAACAATTAGTCCGTTATGATAAAAATAAACTTCGGTTTTGAATGTTTTTTGAATATTTAAGGACGTAAAAAATTTAAAAAGAAATAAAGTAGTCTTTTTTTCTTCTAAAATTAAGCCTTCTATAGAAAATTATAAGAAAAAAAAAACAATATGATTGTAAGTGTAGTCTTAAGGCCTCGGCCTCGAATTTTGCGGGCAGCGGAGCGGCAGCGGGAGCGGCAGGATCTTACGCGTATAATCAAATGGACCGACCCTCGAATACAGCGGTGCCCGCTGCCCGCTATTTTGGAGAAATGTATGCGTTTCCGTGCCGCCGCCTCCGCTGCCCGCAAAATTCGAGGCCGAGACCTAATAGTTTTCTCGTTGTCTATAAGAAACGTATCAAAATATACACAATGCATATAAAATTATAATTGTTACAGCAATATTACCCCGGTGGAAAATTGGAAAGTGTCCATCGTAGCCATGGGTGAAGGCTGGCACAATTATCACCATACGTTTCCGTGGGACTATAAAGCATCTGAATTAGCCTACTTCATAAATGTGACGACATTTTTGATTGATATCTTTGGTAAAATCGGTTGGGCCTATGATTTTAAAGTAGCTTCGCCAGCCTTGGTGAAAGCGGTGATTAGAAAACGAGGACCAAGCTCTTAATTACTTGCAATATTTTAAATAAATTGTACCAAATATCATATATATAATATTTGGATTGTCAACAAGTTTAACATATTCATAAATATGTTTAGATATAAGTAGGAAAATAAGATATACATATGTATACTCGTAAAGTAAAAAACAGTGTTACGGATTTCTTTCACTTTAAGTTATTTTAATGTATTATGTAATAATTATTATAGCTTTCCACGAAATATTAAGAGCCAATTTTAAATTTAATTAAGTATATCATACAATGAACATTCAACGCGACATAATAAGTCTACTTGATAAACAACAAAACATCAAAGTCCATGATTAACACGTGAGACACTATGATAAAAGTTTCTGAAATACGCTCTCAACATTTTCCCGGTAAACTGTAAATTTTAACATTTCAACTGTCTCTGTGTTTCATTTCAAAGCTTTTACTTCCTTTCTTTTTCCTTTCCTTTGAAAAGATCGTGGATTCATTTACGAAGAATGTCATTTAAAGTTTAAAACTTCTATTCGCTTTCATGAGACACATTCTCAATTTTTAATTTTCTTTTTTAATATGAATTTAATAAAGTTTTTTCATTAGTGTACTACAAAATATAGATTTTTTTCTTGAAATCAAAATCTTTATCATGTAAAAGTACCTAATCTTTTCAACAAGCGAGGTAAAAAAAAAAGTAACGACAATAGTCATTAAAAATTTGCTGTAATAGGTATGTGATTTAAAAAAGTTATGTTCTTAAATATTTCTTTATTTTAGTTAACAATGTCTTCAAAAGGGTTAAACGATTTAAGATCTTAAATTAATCAAAATGATCCAAAAACAAGTCTTCAGTTGTCCTTAGACAAATAGAGAGGCTTAAAATAATTTTTAATCTCATAGCGCATTTAAATAGAGTATAAACAGATCTATACGTAAACGCTGCAACGAAAACATTTTGCATTCAACTACTTCCATTTAAACTAACTTCTATCTTGTTAAATACCTTTATTTCTCCCAGGGGTAGGAATGTCATACTGTATTATTCCGTAAGACCGTTTAATATCTTTGAAATGTCAACGAAAATGCTTAAAAGAGTAATAAATTAAGACAGTAATTTAGTTTCATCAATTTTGTTTTATTTTCCACGAGGCCAGTAATTTATTATTCTGATATTACGCACGATAGAGTTGAAAAGGAATGTAACAAACCTCAATCCTTTTAGAATTTAATCTTACCCATTTCACATAATAAAATATATATTGAGTACTGAAAAAAAAAACAAAACATTCGACAAAAATAATTATATATAAAAAGATCTCTTTTAAAATAAAAATCTACCAAAAAGTATTTGTTGAAATATTCATGAGATCTGTAAGAATTAGATTTATATTACAATTATACTTTAAAATCTGAATATCGTTCTCTCATGCAGTTAACTAACTAGAAATTGTAATTAGTGTTTGGATCCGAAACTTTTAATGGCTTCCCTTATAACTAACATTATATTAATTGCTAGTTGTCAAATTGGAAGGTTTCAAAATCGAAACATTTTTGGGGTATAATGCTTTATTGCCATTACTAATAATTATAATTTAAATCGCAAGACTACAATAAGTCTACAGTATAGTAATATTAACGACCTAATTCCTTAATGCAGCGCGTTTAAATAGCACTGGCAACTTTTTTTACTTTATTTTTCTGATACTACAAATACATAAAACATATATGTAACTGCTTACTTGTATGTTCAATAAAATCATGCACTAATTGTATCGGTTATGACTAGGACATTCAAAGTTATTCATTCAATTCATTAAAATAATTGAATATGTAATAAATACTATTAAATAATTCATATACTACTTGTAATAATAAAAATAATATTTACAAAATGGCTTACGAGTTTATGATTGCAAATAATTTGAGCCAGCAAATGTTTTACATATACAAAAATCACATCTTAACTACAGATTATCTCACAGTATGAAATTTTAGTGACAAACCAAAACTATATTACAATTCATATGTATAAGAAATTTTTACAACAAATAAAATCAGCCAAAGTATTGTAACTTAATGAAAATACTTCAAACAATCAGAAAAGAATGCAGGTCAAGTGTTTGTGGTCGCTATAAAAATTATTTCAATACCACAAATCTTGTTTTAGTAAGATTCAGTCTTCAATAATTGAAAAATCAGCTTTTACGAAATCCTTTATATCATTTTTCAGCTCTATGATCTTTGCCTCTTTTATTGGTCTCAAGCTTTCGTCTTTAGATGGTTTACGTTTTAGGCTTACCACTTTATTGGAATAGTTCATGTCACAGTGGTCACTGTTAGACACTTTGCGTTTCTTCTTAGTGATAATAGTGTCAAAATCTGAAGAATCATCATCAAAACCAGTATATACTGGTACCGAGCGTCCACTTCTTGTAGACCTCATAGGTTGAGATCTTGTCGACTCCATTATTTGTATTGGTGGAGGCCAAACCGCTAGGTTTGTAGATTGACGAGCCTGCCTATAGCTATTAATAGACATCAGTTTAATATAGACAGCCAAAGTCCTCGCTTTTTCAGCAGGAGCTGTGAAATTTGGTAAGAGACTCCAAGGCATTCTCCTGTCAGTAACATTTAAGTATCGCCTTTTCATAGTAACTTTAGCTGGTGCTTCAGTTGTACCTCCTTTAGTCTAGAAAATAATTAATAACAATAAATAATGATATAAAACTAAAAATATATGTATGTATATATTTTTTTTAATTTACCTCAGGATTCTGTTCAGAAGTTTCAACTTGTTCCTCTTTTGGAGCTGTTTCTTTGGAGTAATTGAGGGCCCTTAGCAAATCCAACATTTCCCCTTTGCTTAAGTTGTCCTCTTCCAAACCAAATTCTATAAAATTATAAATACATTGAAGATATAACTATAGCAACAAAATATTTATAATGTAAAATAGGCGGTCACCAGTGAGCTGATGTTTTAAACTCCTTATATCCCGATCCCCGCTGTCGTCAGATGATAACAGGGGCTCCATGATAACAATAATTTATTTAAAAACACTTGAGAGTTGTATTTATTGCGACTGCGCTTTTCTTTATTTACATATTTAGAAAACGAGAAAGACCAATTCAATTGTTACTTCACAAAAAGAATAGAGTCAGAACAGAAACAATTAATTTGGCAAGTACATCAAGTAAACACTTTTTTTTGTTAATTGATAAAATTCAACAATTAGATTGTGCGCTTCCAAATTAAACACAAAACAATCAGTGTTTGAAAACTGACATTTGTGAATTTTGACGTTTGACATATATGTACTATGTATTATAAACGGCGTTGTGAAAAAGTCAATACATTAGAACTGAAGTACTATAAAAAAATATATAATTATATATCACTGTCAGGTCAATTTTTAAATATCAAAAGATTTTTTTATTAAAGTGGACTTTTCATATGATATGTTCGATAGATTGATTCTATAAGCTTTCGTACACGCCTTATCTGTGCTATTTCAATACAAGATAATTACCTTTCTCCATCAAGATAGAAAATAGCTTGTAAATTATTTTAAACTGAAATCAAAATTTAATCGTCGAAGCTAAACTTTACCTTGTCTCGTAGTTTTCAAGACCCTTACTGGAATGTTGCATAAATCTATATTTTTAATCCATCCATACTTTAAAAAAATGTTCTAACTGAACTTGGTTATTATTTTAATAAAAACAGGTACATTTGAATTTGGGAGTGACGAAGTAAATTTTCTTAGCACATAATTATTTGACAGAATAAAAGAAACTCAACTACACTAATCAATAAGTGTCTGCAAAACATAAAACCTATTGATAAAGTAAACACGCTTTATAGATCCACAAGAAAACACAACATTTGTTAAATAAATAAAAATTATTTATTATAAGCAATCTTGGCATACTTGTAAAATCATTAAGTACATTTTTATAAGAACGTAATACATCACACAACACAATCTTAATTAAATACAAATATTTTTTGTTTAGTACCTAAATGTTATAAAAAATCAACACTAGTTTTGATTAAAGTACATTATTTTTGTACTAAAATCATTTTTTTTAACAAACTACAAGATAATGACCATTTGACTTTTAAAAGTTTTTCTTTAAATGAAATTACACGTCATATAAGCTTGTTTATCAAATATATTAAAGATATTATGCGTTTCATAACATTTAACAAATAGCTAGAGCATTTTAATAACTAGCAAAAAAGACATTGATATGAATATTCTCTACAAATAAATAAAAAATAATTATTATAATTATTTATTGAACCAATATTTTATGGCATAATTGGTCACTGATAGTGCTAAGTACATTTTAAATGTTTAATACATTTAAGAATTGACCACAATATTTCATTAAAGTTGTACAAAAGAGTTTGAATATATGTTTGAATTAAAAATAAAATTATCTAAAATATTAATAAATAAATGTTTTAAGCTAAGCACATACACAAACAAAGTAAAAATTGAACACTAAAGAAAAAAAAAAGAATTCGTTTAACAAAAATAATAAGGTGGGCAGTGGAATATTTGAGTTTCATTCAGGTACTTATACAGTTATGCAACCACCTCTTATAGTGAAAATTTTTTAACATGTTTAATAATGATTTAGTTTGAGATGTGTAAATTTTTCTATGGAATGCATTAAATATAATATGACCAGTAAGAGTTGGGAGCAATTTATAGTATAGAATTAAGTACGTCATGATTGGATAAAGAGCTGAAATTAGAACATTTTCAATATAAATAAATAATAAAAAAGAAATTATATAAAATTTGTATACTCTATCTAAATACAAGGAGCCGTATTATTAAACCCAAGTATACACTATTATATTGTCTATGATTACGGCTAACGACGGATTCGTTCGTCGGAACGGAATTAAGTGCCACATCAGTAAAAATAAGTGCCACATCAATTAATATAATGATTTTAAATATTTAATATTACATAATTGATAGTTCTCATCAATATTAAAGTTCTTAACAGAATTTATTATCTGATATTTTAACTAAATCACCGATATGGCACTACTTTAGTTTAAAAATTAAGTACAATTAATATATTAGTTAAATTTGATACACATTAATAATTGTCTTACAGTATATGATTGTTTATATAAAGTTTATTATTATTTACAATATTTTTTATCAGTCCTATAAATATTGTTTAAACAATTGTTCATAACATTGTTTGTATACAAATTGATTAGTTAAGCATCATATAAATGGCATTCATGACGTAACATATTAAGTATTATGTAATACAATTTGAGGAACAAAAACAATTATTATTTTTTATATATAAATTGAAAATGTAATAACTGGGCTTTATCAGTGTTTTAACCGATTATTTTAATATTTTATTCAGTTTTTAAGATGTCTATCATTATTTTTAATTTGTAGTACATTCTGTTAGGTAAAAAATAGCACTTGGGTTTGTTACCTTTAGGAAATGAAAAATTCAAACACCTTGAAAAATTGCATTACATAATACTTAAAGTATCTCTTATATGGATATATAAATCATTAAAACTCTAAACAAAAAAAAGGTTCTTAAAATTAAGGCAGTGAATATTTTGTTAAATTTCATTTAAGTCACTTTTATGTAAAAAAAAAGTGTTAAAGTTTAAGTAATCGACTAGTAAACAAAGAATAGTCTTAAAATTATTCAAAACTTTCGTTATTCGAATATTGTTACACACTGTAATTATGTAATTACGTATTATAAGGACGTTTTTGTAACCAATTTTTTAGTTAATCTAAAATTCAGTTCTATGAGCAACTTGAAGCTGTATAAGACTTCATTTCAACTTGAAGCTGTATAAGACTTCGTTTTGTATTTCGGAAGGAAGAACACGTGTGAAAAAGAAAAATAATCAAAAACTTCGAAGAGGTTTTTGCCATTTTTTTTCTTAACAAAGTAGAATATAATATGGCAAATTCTTCAAAAGCCTATTATTATTTATTTTAACTCTCATTGGACTGTATAATGCGTTCAAAGCCAAGCTGTTTGAGCTCCAAGAGAGTTTCTACTCTATGATGATGGCATAGACAATAAATTCCTTTTTATTTCTTCTATTGTAAACTGATCCCGGCTATGTCCAGTAAGTCAGGTGGCGGTGGCAACCCTGGCTGAAGTGTTACACCCACACCCCTGTTTAAGGACACTGCCGGGTAAAAAGCACCTCGCAAGCCAGTGAATGCGATATCACCCTGAAACATTAATATTTTTTTATATTGATATAGTACAAGAAAAGTAGAATTTCAATAGTTCTAAGAAAATCACAAGTATAGTGTTGATATTAATTTTTTTCAAATTTCTGGAAGCGGACTATTTCGAAAATTATGTGGTCAATAACTTAACAATGGATACCATTGTAGATGCTGTAATGTTATCAATAAGGGATTCATACAGAGTAATTAGATTACCATTTGACCCCACTCCGAGCTATATGGAATTAATAATACGACAAAAGTGTGTGTATATATTATAAATACCTGGGTGTGTATATATTATAATAAGGTCAGTGGTGGCCTAGTGGTTAAAGGGCCCACCTCTCGTTGCCGAGGGCGTGGGTTCGATCCTGGCCCGGGCAGTACCAAGGTGATTTTTCCCAGTCATATGTACTTTCTAAGGCTATTTAGACATCACTGACTAATGCTGATTCCCAAAAGAGGGTTGATGTCAGGCAGGCGGCCGGTCGTAAAAACAATTAGCCAAAACTATTCACAACATGTAAGGCAGACCCTGGCTATAGCTGGGAAATTGCCAGGTAGAAGAAGATATTATAAATACCTGGGGACGATCGTCGACAGTGAACCTCAGCGTGCCCCGTGTAAGGTCCAGCAGAACGCCAACAGTGGAGCCGTGTGTAATCCCGCCGGCAGCTCTGCCGCCGTGAGCACCGCCGTGAACGAACCACGAGCGCGAACCATCTATATACATCGCCCAGCCGAGCGCGTCACTACCTGCACAATAATTAATATGGCTATACTTACTAATAATAACAATAAATTACGCAAAATTTGATAACAAAAACCTAGAGAAAAATCCATTTTTCTAAAAAATACCGACGGTTAAACAACTGCCAGCGACATCTGGGAGTGGAGACTTGTTAACCAATATGTTCATATTTCTTTAAATTTAAAATTATCCCTGGCTATTTCTTATTGCAGCAAGCCTCAAGGTCATTATTAGCTTAACCCAAACTAATAAGATACATTCAGCCATTGTGGTTGAGAAGATATCGCGACTTTTACCAAGACCAGGGGCATTTGTTGTTGCGATATTACAATTATCGAGAAGACACTTTGCTAAGCACTCCACTCAGTCAATTTGCTGAGCTTTACATACAACATTCTGTTCAATACACTAATAGGCCAAAACATGTCCTCTATTTGTATTTCGTCCAAAATGTGCTCTCAGCAAAAATGGACCTACTAGTTCATTTAAGCTGTATCAACACCTCCCTCTTTTTTCGGGGAGAAATCCGCTTACAGACTACCCACTGCCTTGGCTCGATAGTGTATCAAAACCTCCCTACATAAAACCTTTGTATCTCCACAAATCTTTCAAACTTTAGCAGAACCTACATACACAAAACATGTTAACTCTATCTTCATAACTGTAAAACATACCCAGCATTTTATCCCTCGCCACATCAGCCCTAGCGACTCCGAAGGCTGGGTCAGCATCGCCGTCGTAGTGATCGATCCTCAGTCGCCAGTAGTGCAGACCGCGTGCTAGCGGCTGATCAGCGAGTGCTACCCTCGGCTGCCAGCCCGCAGCCCGCGCACTTAAACCTTCAGAACCTATAACGAGCCCCCCCTCCCCGCTAACACCGCAACGAGCGTCCCATGTGAACCACGCCACTAGAAGAAAATATATCGATGGTTTTGATTAATTTCCGATATTTATCTCCAGTATATCGAGATATATAACTGAATTGGTAAAGCCATCTAAATCGCTGTGATTTTTTTTTCTATATTTACTACTAGCTTTCCGCCCGCAGCTTCGCCCGCGTGGAATTTGATTATATCGCGTTTCCAAGACAACCTTTCAAAGTCTGGGATAAATTTATCCTATGTTCTTTCTCAAGGTCAACTCTATATCTGTACCGAATTTCATTAAAATCAGTTGATATAGGCGTGAAAGCGTAACAGACAGACAGAGTTACTTTCGCATTTATAATATTAGTAGGGATATGAATTTTAATTAAAATGTTAAGTCAACATACTATACAAATTATATAAAAAAATTAAGTTACGCTACCATAATATTTGGAGATCATATACATCAAGAGCTAGCTTGAGTAACAATAGCTTATCTTAGAATATTTCTACATACCAGGTGATGTTTGTAGGCCGATGACCTCGCTGTAAGGACCCTCGCCCGCTCCATTGAACGCCTTCACTCTAGCACTGTATAGTGACGCGTAATGCAGGCCATCGATTGTGCAAACGGTCTCACGGCCGCAATACACCTCCTATATTATCATAAATTTATTTGATCACGCTGTATATTGATTGTGTATGTAGTAATAATATATTTCCGAATTTTTACTTATCTTTTAGTTGCAAAAAAATATATAAAACTAAGTGTTCAATAGACAATAATCGCAATCTCTTGTACCTTTAACTTTTTAGTCTATAAATGTAACTAGCAATTTTAATATTTCCGCCATCAAAGATATATATTTTAAAATTTTATAATGATTTCACATAAATGATGCTTTAATAATATTAATTGCCATTTCCTTTGTTATCTGAACCATATAGGGACATACTGCTTGCAACATCTGACAAACTTCACTCACACTGGCAAGTACCAATGTGATTTTTCCGAATCATATGTACTTTCTAAGAGTATTTAGACGTCACTGATTAATGCATCCCCAAAGAGGGTTGATGTCAGTCAGGCGGCCGGTCGTAAAAACAATTAGCCAAAACTATTCACATGTAAGGCAGACTGGCTAAAGCTGGGAAAATTGCCAGGTAGAAGAAGAAGAATATATAGTATAGATGTATGTACTTACTCTAAAGGGTCCTCCCAAACCGTCGTCTAATTCGAGCACGTACCCGCGCACTGCTCGAGGCGCGGCTGGAGCCCGCCACGCCAAAGTACACGAACAACCGCGAGCCGCGCACGCCTCTACCGCCATCTCGGGGGCACCTGGAGCTGATAGTGATAAACAAAATTACTTACTTACATATATAGACTTAATGATAATAATAATTTTAAATGTGTCCCTGCACAGTTAAATATATATAGTAATGAATAAGACATATTAAGCGTTATACTACAATCCCTACTAATATTATAAATGCGAAAGTAACTCTGTCAGTCTGTCTGTTACGCTTTCACGCTTAAACCACTGAACTGATTTTAATGAAATTTGGTACAGAGATAGAGTTGACCTTGAGAAAGAACATAGGATAGTTTTTATACCAGACTTTTGAAAGGTTCTCTTGGAAACGCGATATAGTCGAACTACACGCGGGCGAAGCTGCGGGCGGAAAACTAGTACTGAATACAGTATAAAATAGCATACATAATAATTATGTAGTGTATGCAATTATTTTATTTTGTCTCTCTTATTCAGTTCAATGTGTTACTTAACCCACAAACAAATATTAAAGAAAAGAAGAAGTACTTTAAATTACTGGGAGCTATTAATTTTTTTTTTCTGTTAAATCACAATGCATTGTTTTAGTTTTAATTTAATTTTGTCACAAACATAAAAATAACCATTTTTAAAATACCACAAGAAGCTTTATAAACAAAATTGTTTTTCCTACGGTGAACTCAATAGAATAATTAATTATTTTGTTGAAATACCTGATGTTTTCATATCCTTTTCCAGAGCTGCATTCCAATATAGAAGAGTAATTACATATTAAGAGATTGCATAGGATAATATGAATTATAAAGACAATAAATATAGTTGGTAATATAAGTGATATTTACAAAATATATGTACCATTTCTATATATTTCTAGAAGAACCAGCAATGTGTGAATTGCTAGAAGAAACAACAAAGAATCCTTGCAAATGACCAATTTAAGAACAAAAGTTACTTTAAATACATATTATATAATTCTTCTTACATTGTGTCGTTAGTTGTCATAGATTTTTCTTCTTTTTATAATGATCAGATGAATAAATTAGAATTGAGCTGTATTTCAATATCAATTGTGTGAAATTTAGTACAATTAATATTTGTACATATTTGAAAATGGATGGTGGAATGAAATATTTTGAAGTTGGCAATTTTCTTTGAAACCAAGTCAAGGTTATACATGTATCAATAATTATGATTACATTTTTAACTAAGAAGGGTGTTTTGGTTTGGTTAGCAATGATCTCTTTGAACCCTGTCCATGAATATAAGATTCCATACACAACGAAACTTCTTAGCACTCAATGGATTCACCGTATGGGTGCCGGGTCCATCGTTGCAGGGAGAGGAACTTCAATAGTGCCTGGGATTTGCGACCCAGGTGTAGGTTTGAGGGCCCCTATCTAAGTACTTGCTTCAATACTTACGTATACACTCAATGAAGTTCATAGTATTAACGGTTCTCAAGACGGGCTCTATGTCGAGTGTGAGAGCTGGCGGCGCCGGTGGAGTCTCCAGCGATGATCGTAGGTTCGAGGCTGTGTCGCGAGCACGGACTGACAGTATCTTACCGACCTAAAACAGTTTTGGTGATATAACATTAAATTCATATATAAAAATCAATCTTTTTAGTACAAATTTTATATGCTTATTTATATTATAAAATGCCTCGAACCAAAATCGTGAGTTATTACAACAAAAAACTAACTCCATTGTAGTACTTAATAGCTCCAACATTAATTTTATTATTGATACAGCATCTATTTCTACATGTAGAAGACAATAGTCATCTTCACATTATATTGTTATCCATATATACATATATGTATACTCTCTAATGAACACTTAATTAAGTATATTCTCTTGATATCCAAAAAAATCTTACTGTAATAATTTAAAAAAAATTACACTACATATTAATGGTGAAAGAAATATAAATAAAGTTAGTGAGCATCGAAAAAAGTTCAATAATACCTTTAGTGTGAAATGTATGTATTAATTAATATTTACTTACTTAGCCTGTCATCCTACTAATATTATAATTGCAGAAGTTTGTGAGTTTGTGTGTATTTTTATTACTTCTTCACGCTCAAACGGCTGAACCGATTTTGATAAAATTTTGTATACAGGAAGCTAACGTCCAGAAATAACACATAGGCATTATAAATCCCTACTAATATTATAACTCTGTCTGTCTGTTACGCATTCACGCCTAAACAACTGAACTAATTTTAATGAAATTTGGTACAGAGATAGAGTTGACTTTGAGAAAGAACATAGGATATTTTTTATCCCAGACCTTTGAAAGGTTCTCTTGGAAACGCGATATAACCGAACTCCACGCGGGCGAAGCTGTGGGCGGAAAGCTAGTATTTGTATAATTTTGGAATCAAAATGTAAAAAAGGTGATATTAAAAATATAATAACAATGTCCCCAAAGCTATCTGATATCTAAATCTCTGATAATACTTTGTTCATATTACCTGCAAGAAGGCAGCGTGATCTGATTCTTTCAGAGCTTCTATAGAAAAATGCAACAATGCAGTGGCCTCTCTAAGTTTCTGTGCAGCTTGTGACGTCATCACGCGCATACCAGCCACAGCTTGAGACCTTGTATTACGAGCCGCCCTTACTAATTCATCTCTCCGTCTTTCTATGGCACGAGTTATTTCGGCACATGCCTGATCGATTTGATTTTCTAATTCTTCGCACGATTCCTGAAGTAGTATGAGCGATAATTTTAATATTACAAAAACAGTATGATGAATTTTAAAAAGGAAAAAATAGTAACTAAAAATTTTCATTAAATTTGGTCAATTACAATTAGCAAAAAATCTATGTAATCTAATACAGGTATTCCTAAAGTAATCATAATGCATTGAAATAAGACTATAAGATAAATAAATATTTCAAGAAGTTAAACTGTTGCAAGGATTCAACTTAATTATTTTATAAATACATTTTTACTTGTTTTAAACTATAATTATTATAATATTTATAAAAATGTTAATATACATTTATTTTGTCCCCGGAGCTCTTCACAAGTTGTATATACTCAGTCATTGCCTTGGCTTCTTCTGACAACTGGTGAAGTGTTTGCGATAATTCTGTCTGCAATATAAAAGAGTCTTTCCTTTAATATATATTTGTAAAATATTTAAAACTAAGGTTAAATTTATATATCAAACCTTATGTAATCTAGCTGCACTTGATAAATGTTGAGTTTCATGAGAGGCGTGTCTTTCTGCCAAGCATCGTTGACAGATAGGTAGTAGACATGTATTACAAAATAATACAGGAGTGCATCCGTGATCTGTACATGTTGTTCCTAATGCCCTCAGCTCGTGTTGAGCGAGAGGACCTCTAGTAGGGTGCCAAGCATCTCTACAGCCCGCGCAATACCGCACTGAACACTGTTCACAACGCACTACAGCCGCCCGACGTTCTCCTTCGCACATTTGACATGCCTCCTCAGCTGGCGGGGCCACACTGACTCCACCGAAACGTTCCACTATTGTTCGCATGACGCGAAAAGGTGGAAGGCCTTCAGCACCACTGTCGTCAAGAAATACTTGTTTGTTGCAAAATGGACATATTATACTAAAAGTAGCCGTTGTGTACGTCGATGCAGCAGGAGTTCCTGCATAACTGTTAGGCCTGGACCCGCAAACAACACCACTATCGGTCTCGCTAGATACCGAGGCCTTATCAGCCTCCTGAAAGTCATGTGAAACGGCACTGGCATTGTCATTTTCATGTACATGCGTTTGTAAACCCACAGCACATGCTCGACAGAGTGCATGACCGCAAGGCATCAGCACCGGCTCTCTGTAGAACTCTTTACATATAAAACATCTTAGTTCTTCTTCCATTTTAATAGTTTCTTTAACTAAATGTTAGCACACTGACAATAAATCATAAATAATAACAGATATGTCTTGAATAAAAGGAGGCATAATATTTAGTTTTTTAAAAAGTTTACTGTTTATAAAACCTTTATATGCTAGACTTATCATGAATGAAAACAAATTCTTATAAAAAATACACAACAGCCTATACCTATCAACACAGAATTATCACCATATGAAACAGACTAAACAAGATATAAGTAGTAGATAAAGCAAAAAATTGTCTAAACCTGTAACTATATTTAAAAGAATAACTAAAAGAAACTTTTTATTTATAAAATAATGTTTTACTGTAAATTTTCAAACCAATATAACTATGAAACAAAATATTATGAACTAGAATAAAACTACCATAACAACAAGTATAATGTTGATGGTCTATAAGTTAATATTCTTTATCTATTACATATATATAAAATATTTTTATCATACAAAATAAAGTTGCGAACCATGTATAGACTTTTTTGTTTATCTTTCAAAACAGTATATAATACCATTATAGAAAATGGTGCTTAAGTACAGAATTTTTAATTAATTAACAAGAACAAAATGTCGCCTAGCCATTGACTGGTTATTTGCTAATTTTATTAACACTTCAAAATTAGATAAAGAAGAGAAATTATATTTTGCGATTGTGTTATTTCACTCCTTATTATTTTTTCAGATTAATATACAGATTTTTTTAATTGTTAGTAATTTTTTATAGCTTTTAAAGATTAGTAGAACTATAATCAAAACAAGAACATGTGTGGTATTTTCACATTCTAAGTCATGTTAATGATTTGACATGCAGATTATAATTATATTTTTTATTTATTAGCAACAGTTAATTATAAATATAAACAATATCAAAGTTTACACAATTAAATCTTTAAGAAATATAGGCAAACCCTATAGTTATAATTTAACTCTCCTGTTATCTTAAGGGGCGCTGAGGCCACCCTATCAAGGGGTGAGGGAGTTTTGAGAGTCTACAACGCGGTTACCGATCATACATATTAACAATTGTGGGAACTTTGTGATAATAATACGAGATTATATTCACATTATGCATCGAAATATTTTCGCGCCCAAATTGAACTATAAAGAAAATAAAATGGCATACCTACAACGTGCATGAATATTTTAGAAAATATCTGATATGATACTATAATATCGACAAGATATAATAGTATCATATCAGAGAAGCCCGGAAAAGAAATGGAATTAAATATAAAAAGAAAACATGAAAAAAAAAATACATCAGAGAGAAAAACAGTTTCGCAGGATTAGGGAGTGGAATTTCATGAAAGGAGAAAAGTCATCCAGTTCTACACTATTTAAAAAAATACACTGAAAACTTTGAGTGGTAGGTCCTACATAAAGCAGAAAAAAAATTTCGTCTGACAGGGAATATTTAAGGTCATGGCTTATTATTGCTTGACGTAGGTTTTAAATGTATATATTTACCAATCTAAAACGATACTCCTATTTAAACAGGCAAGTATATCTTTGTGAATATCGCATTGCCTATGAGCATTTATTTTAACCATCCTACACTGAAATAAAACTTTTTTGTAGATGGATAACTGTTTATGTTCAAACCATAAGTAAGACAAAATTATGACAATACTTAATATCAATTTCGAAAATTTATTGGAAAAATGAAAGACCGAATTTACCGCCAAAATTCGTCATAATAATACCTAATCCTGATCATGGTTGAGATCGAGTAGACTATCATAATTCTATAGAAACTCCGACAGTGAAGAATTAACTTCAAACGATATTAATATGGACAAGTATTTGATTACCATATTCTATTAGGTATATTAATATCTTTTGTCATATTAATTGACAATTATTTCCCATTAGAATATTATATAGATATTGACATTAGATATGTGAAATATCTTAAGAATTGTCTGGCATGTTTTCATCTTACGTATACAAATTACGAAGACAAGCAATCTCCTACATTTCTTCTAAGTCTCAGTACTTTAGTTTGCCTATAAATACAATATTGTTATTATAGACTCAACGAAGTGTCATTCCTTTATTCACTTTGGCTCTGCTGAAACAGTTTATCGTAAAAATCTGAAAGTTATATTAGTTATATCAATAATAGAAAATATTGTGTGAAGAGTTTATTTTGGCCCTTTTATCAACAAGAATGTATATCTTTTCAGTTGGAAAAAAACAAATAATACATAATATAAATAAAGAGATCTGTTAAATAGTCATCTTTTATAGCACTAAACTTTTGGTCTCTTATTTTTTTTATAATTAACAATAGTTAGATTTAAAACTAATTCGGAAACTAATACATACATAATTTTCATTTGCCAAATATACAACTAATAAATGAATTGACACTGGAATCTTCAAATAATTTAAGATTTGGTATATACATGTCTCTATGTTGAAATCAGATTGTTCAATGAAGTGTGCTAATCAAATGATTCCTTTATATCCATGTCTTATAAAGTATAACTAAATCATAGTTATGAGATTATTACATTTTTACAAAAATATCTATGATATGGTTATTTGCCTGGCTATGAATTTGGTGAAAAGTCATGGCAAGAATTTCCTATACACAAAGATCAAAGTCTATTTTTGTACTAATCAATATATCACGGTAAAGTTAGACTTGAAACAAAACTAGTCCAAATAATGGTTAAGTTACTAGTTAAAAGTTTTTTACACTAATAGGAAGACAAAGTAACACACTAATTATGTCATTCCATGTCCCAATCATCACCAGGCATGAGTATGATGAAATATATCACAGATACAAGATATTCGAACCATATTTACTTAACATCATTTTTATGATTCAAGAATGTTTTATATTGAAGAGAACAACATAACATATCTATTGTACTTAAATGAATAATCACAAAAACCAATAAAAAAGAATAAAAGTATACAATTGTAATGTAACAACTGCAATGGCAGTGAATTAATGGGTACATAATTTAACAATGGTTATAGCTTTAAAGAAATTATGAAGTGGTTGACCATTAAATTTAACTCTTCACATGACATCCCAAATTTCTAATCCTGAGAGCAAATCAACTTTACTTTTATTTGAACAAAAATGCCCTCATATGATGATCCCCCCCTAAGCTAAGGAATGCACACAATGCAAGCCATAACAGAATGTAGGCATTCCCCGCTTTATTTTAGTCACAGTTCTAGATCTTTCCATTGGAAGGAAAGTCAGTTGCAAATATTGTTTGTTTTGTAAAGAAGGTTGTATGTAAGTTTGATTTATTTCAGCTCAATCACAACATAGAAAAAAAAATACTTTACTTACTACAACCCTCATGAATCTTTAATTTTTATTAAATCTAAACTGTGACTTTTAACCGCTTCTTTAAACTAAAAAGAAAAAGATCTGATTAAAGGTACAATTCAAGTCTGAACAAATCAAACAAGCCAGGTTATTGGAAAATACTTCTTTTATTTCCTGATTTGTTCTTATTAAAACCAGACAGGTTTCAGTCTTGAAAAGTATTACTTTAACCTGATTTAAAACAAAAAAAAAGGCTTGATTTTCTTGACATTGCTCCAAGCGGTCAGAAACAATATCCATAATGCAGAATTTCAAATATTATTATGATATTCCAATAATTTTGATTTGAGCTAGTCTTGTTACCTACCCACACACTGATTATAAGACATATTGATTAGAGAAGTGTAAAACAAATCTTGCGCTAGCTCAAATTTACAACATATGGGTAGGTTGAAGTAGCATATTAAATTGAAAGTCTACCACAATTTATGCTAAGATCACTGACAAATTTAGATAGACTCTCACAAGTAGATACTCAGATAAATATTTTACTTTTTAACAATCCTAGGATACCGCGCACAGAATCCAATATGGACAAAGAGCGCAAGGTGCCTTCGTAAGTCCTGATGCCCGATGTTTATATACAGTTTAAAAAAATCAACCTTCTTCAGGTTAAAGTCTTATATCACGATAAACTATATACACGCACATTTTGTTAACAATAAATTCATTACACTTTTTACAAATAAGTTTTTTGTTTTTGTAGTTTAATTCTAATTCCATTCACCAGTCAGCAAGTCCAGAGAGCACGGCGTTACTTATCTGCCGAGTCGTCTTCGTCGGGGCGGGACACGTACAGGGCGGGATCGATCACCTTTGGTATAGGTTTGATCTCCGTGCCCAGCTCCTGTTCGATGCGGTGAAGCGCAAAGCGATCCTCATAGGTGATGAGGTTGATTGCGATACCGAGGTGGCCGAAGCGGCCGGAGCGACCGATACGATGCAAGTAGGTCTCCGCCATGCGCGGGAAGTCGAAGTTTATGACCACGTTCACAGCCTGCACGTCTATACCGCGAGTGAACAGATCCGAACACACCAGGTTGCGACACAACCCCGCCCTGAAGTCGTGGAACACGCGGTTGCGGTGCGCCTGGGCCATACGTGCGTGTATGTAGTAGCAACAGTAACCTAACTCCGTTATCTTCTTAGCGAGCAGCTCTACGCGCTGGGTCGAATTACAGAATATAATAGACTGGTTGATTTGTAACTGTAAAAGAAAATTTATTTACAAATCTAGACATTTACAAGAATCGTATATGTAATCACAAAAATATTTTTAGTTCAATTGACATATAAAGATATGGTGTTTAAATAAATAAAGTTTAAATACATGAATATGTATTACAAACACAAGAGGTCAAATGACCTTTTCTTATCAAACATATGATAACATAATATTTTATGCATTCATTAATATTAAATAATGTAACTTTTTTAATGTTACTGAAAAATTTAAGGGCAAAACAATACGATTTCGTCCGTAAACAAATTTTAAATAGAGGCGCACTATTAGTTCTTTTCTTGAATTACCTTTGAAAAGAGTGTATTTAAGCAATGCACTTTCTGTCTTTCTTGTACAAATGCATAGTATTGTGTGACTCCTTTCAATGTTAACTCTTCCATGAGATTAATCTCATATGGTTCTCTTAAATGTTTCTCCATAAACTTTTTTACATTTAGTGGAAAGGTTGCTGAGAACAGCAAAATTTGACGTTCTTTTGGTAGCCTAAAATAAAAATTACAAAAATAATTAACACAAGCTCCCCTCGTTCTAAGAACATTTAAAATTTTCTAACTATAGTTAATCTCTGATGATGCCTGTTCTTTCAACAATATACAAAGAAATAAACAATAAATTAGTTCTTATACCAAAAACATATTTGTATGGTTTATTTATTACCTACACCTGATAAATATACTTATAAATCATGATCTTATGATAATATATTTTTTAAATAAAACAGGCTACTTCAAAGATATTACTGCATAAGATGAAAACATTATCTTACCGTGAGATAACAGTATCCAACATGCCTTTGAAGTCCTGAGAGAGGAGTTTGTCAGCTTCATCTAGCACCAGCATCCTGCACTGGTCCATCTTGGCTACTTGTTTGTCCATGAGATCAATCATACGCCCCGGTGTGGCTATTATTACTTGGACTAAAATTACATCAAAATTAGTCCATGCAAATAGTTGGTTGTGAACATAATAACAAAATAATTGATGCATTTAAAGACTACATATCTGTTAACACTTTAAGATTGTTTATCAATAAAACAGTGCTTGGTTTTTTATAAGTATAAGGGTACATAACAGAAAGGTGAAAAAACATAAAAAATTTACAAGGTATTCCTATTAAAAAATAATTGTTTTAATATATATTTACCATTTTGATAAATGCGCATTATATCATCTCTTAAGTTAGTTCCTCCTGTGGTGACCATTACACGAATGTCTGTGTGTTTTGCCAGTTCAATGCAAATTTGTGATGTTTGCAGTGCTAGCTCTCTGGTCGGCACCACTATAAGGGCTTGTATAGCATCTTTTTTTGGATCAACCTTAAAAATACATTAAAAGTTAATAAAAACGGAAAATATTATTATCTCAAGTTAATATAAAATATAATGTCAGAACTGTTTTTTCTCACTTATAAACAAGTGAAGGGGAATCCAAATATATCATCATTAAAGTACTGAAACATATCATAGTAACATATATCATATTTACTATAATTTTGATATTTATAAACCTTTTATCAGAAAAACAAATATTTGTAGAATAGTATTGACTCCATACAAACAGTGATAAATTATCACTGTAATAATAGCATTATATTTTATTGTTTTCCAGCAGTTTTACTTTTTTAAATACCAATAAGAAAAGATAAGTTTCAAGTACTGCAAAAAAAATTACTTTATGACAAAATAATTTTTTATCTTTATATAACATACCTGTTCTAAAACTGGAATACAATAAGCGCCTGTTTTGCCAGTACCATTCTTTGCTCTGGCCAGAACATCTTTACCGCTAAGTGCAATGGGAATTGAAGCCTCTTGAATAGGAGATGGCTTCTCCCATCCCTTTTCAAAAATTCCCATCAAAATTTCTCTTTTAAGACAAAACTCTTCAAACTCATTTCCTCTTGTGTCAGTTACATCCTATATAAAGTTAAATTGTTGTAAAATAAAAAAAAAATTTTCTATAATATTGTAGTGAGGGTAGTGTTCGTAAAACTTACACTGGTTTTAAGTCTTCTGTCTTTGGGGGGTAGTTTTAATTTTGCTTTCCACCCAATATCTTCTACAGTTTTATCGACTTCTCTGTAATTTTACAAAATGCGTATTCAAAAAAGAAATCACGAACACGAAATAACGGGAACAAAGGAAATGTATGATAATTATACTGACCCTTTCTGACTGCTCATGTTTCCGACGTGATTACTTGAACTAATTCTATTTTCAGTCATCATTTTGCCAAAAAAAGCCCTCTAGGGGTGACTAAAATTAGAATCTTATCACAAAAATCTTTTTATTTAAGTCCAACACTAAACAAATTTCACGATAAGTCACTTTTATTTTCATATAATACTTTATAGTTTATCACGTTCGCCAACTTAGTCCGGAAATATCTGTAACAAAGGATATCGTTTAGATAATTAAATCGCAGAGGCCTGTATACGAGACAGAGACGCGTCAACAAGCAGTGTAGCTATAGTTGTATACGATGTAGCAAAAATATACCAGATAACAACAACCTACTATGCAGAACTACAACAATAACACAGAAGTATCTTACATATTAATGGTTTACTTAATATTTAAAAACAGGATCGCTAGCCAGCAACGCAGATTACAATAGATGAAATTTACAAAATATTTTTCTATTTTTAATATGGCCGCCCAAGAAAATACGTAAAGAAGATTGGATGCTGTTCAGGCAAAATTAAATGAGAATTTTAAGACAAAGATGTTGATAACTTATGTAATTGAAGTAAAATGAAAACGAAACATAAAAAAAACATATATCACCTTGATAAAACTTTATAAAAGACGACGACACTCGATACTCGACGACGACATTACAAAGTAAGCAAAGCTGTTAGTGCAATGTTGACCACTAAAAATTTGTTTTCTACCAACTGAATCGAACTGTAACCAGCATTTTAACCGCACACAGTACAGATACTGTATAAATGTTCCTTAGAAAAAGCTTTATTTAAAATATTTCAATTGTTATATTTCATTAATGGTTATTCAGTTGTTTAATATATAATCATAATCTTTTCTAAAATTCTGAATTCTGTTTAATATTTGAATATTAACAGAATAATTTTTGAAAAATATTTTTTTTCTTTGAATAGAAATAATAAATTTTAAATCAAAGCGTTGTTTTGCTTGAATAATGTACTATTATTGAGAATATTATCCGTTACATAAGTATTTAATAAAATTACAACTAAAGTGCTATCTTCTTGTAGATGATTTTTGGCACATGATATAAAATCTTAGCAAATGCTGCCATTTCAAAAATAAAATTGCCTTTTGCTGTAGTAACTATTGTTATTTTCGTATCAAAAAAAACATTATTTTCCTTAAAGGATCAAAATTATTGTAGTGATTATCAAACCTGAACTTGGAGTATCATTATTTTTATGATTTAAATATACACAATTATTATTTTTACATGTTTGAATTTCTACTATTTTGTTACGGTGTACCATACTAGTTGTAATACCTTTTAACTGTAAATATAAAATGATGCATTGACAACTTCAATATCTGATTAACGATTGTTGTTAAAACCTCAACACTTGCACTAATTAAGACAACCTTAATACAATAAACGTCAGATATTTATCAATATATGTATTTCTGTCTCAAATGTGCTGTAATTAAAATATCTTATTGTAAATATGTTATATTAATGACATTTTATTAGTTAGGAATACCTTAGTTTTTATTTTTTTAACAAAATGTAAGTGTTTTATTTTGATTTATAAATCGACTTTTAAAACAACTTTTTCACCGATTAATACTTACAGGACGACTTACTGGAAGTCACAGGATCGCAAGTATTGTGAGTTTTGCAAGTGTTGGCTCGCTGATAACAAAGTGGTAAGTAAATATTTGTAGACATACAAATAATTCATAACAAGTGTTTATAACATATTTGTTAAAAAACCTGTATTACTTTTCAGTCTATATCATTTCACGAAAATGGCAAACGGCACAAAGAAAGCCTCAAGAAACATTTATCGGATCTCAGCAAGAGGAGTGCAAAAGAATTCAAACAGAATCAAAAAATGGAGGATGATATCAAAGAAATGGAAAAAGCAGCCATGAAGGCTTATGCCAAGGATATTCAAAACAATGCTGACCTGACATCACAAGTATTTAGTATTATTAAATATAAAATAATTACCTTTATTTGGCATTAACTTAAATTTTTGTTGTAACAATTTAAAGGTTTAAATATTTTCCTGTGGCAAGTAGTCTTGTGTGGCATTATGTCCTATTAAATTTTTTATATTTGCCATTGATTTTTTTAGTAGTTTTATATTTTGTATTTTGTACATCATTAAGTTAACAATTTTACTTTGGAACAAAATTTATTGATGTCCAAATTAGGACAAGACTAATAATGCACAACACCACCCTAACCAGTCGAGAGATTACTTGCTGAGTATTAAATTTAAGTTAATAAAGTAATATATATTAATCCGAGGCAATATACCTATACAGTGTGCAAAATAATGTATAAACTTATGAACTTACAAACAGAAATTGATTTTATTGTCTAAAATGAAGATATTATATGTATTTTTGCTCATACTAAAGTAGGAATTGATAATACATTTTATATCTTTCAGAACATAAATGAAATAATAGAACTTAGTGGTAATAGTAAAACAATTGCACCGGCACCAACTGTTGAAGAGAAAAGTGAATGGAAGGAAATGAAAAACGACAAGGGAAGAACATACTACTGGAACAGTAGAACTGATGGTAAAGAATAGTTTTATACATAGGGGCCGTTCAAGTATTACGTAAGCAGATATATTACAATTATTTACCCCCCATCGCCCTTGTCAGCAAAAGTAAGCAAAGCTCTTACCCCCTCACCCCATACTTACGTAAACATTTTCAATTTCTGTATTGTTTTTTTTTTCATATAAATCTAGAAAAAAATTATAATCATGTTTTTTTATGGATCTTCTTGATGTGACTATTAAAATGTAAATAACTACCGATGACATAATCATTATCTAGACTCCCCTACCCTCCAAGTCATCCAAAATAATCAAAGCAAAGACCCCCCCCCCACCCCTCCATAGTGCTTACCTAATACTTGAATGGCCCCATATCTTTATATATATATAATACTTCTGAGTGTGTGTATGTCACTGAACTTCTCTCAAAAGACTGGACCGATTTTCATTAAATTTTTTGTGTGTGTTCAAGGGGATCTGGGAATGGTGTAGATTCACAATTTTGTCCGCTGGATAATATTTTTTTAATTTATTAGTAGTTGTTGATAAAAACGTTTTTTTTTTGGCATTAGATTTGACTAATATGTCAACCATTCTGTCGCACTTCAAAACACGGAGATTTATGGCTTTAATAGGTAAACTCCAAAAATATAAATAAAAAACGTAACAGATATCTCATGATTATAGGACGATACGAAGTTCGCCGGGTCTTCTAGTATATATACAAACTCGCTATTATTAAATATATATTCTATTATAATGACACTGAAGGGACCATATAGTTGCCGACATTATATCCGATAGTCGCTATAAGCAATACAGTCATTTACACACATTGTATATACATATATTAACATATGTAGTTACATATCTATCTAGTATAGGTATAGGTTATAAAAGATAAACTGAAAAAAAAAATACATTATTTGATTAATTGGTAAAAAATACACCAATATTGTAATACATAATTTTATAATTTTAAGCGTTATAATTATATTAATATAAATTTCCATAGATTTTGTAACTATTTTTTATTTATCTTCTTGATACTTCTTCTCTTAATAGGGCAGTATAACACAAGCCTTTTACTACTATGTTGCTTTGTACTACAAAACTATTGTTTGTATAAAAAAAAAGGATTAATGAAATGTATTTTCTTTTTCCAGTATCCACATATGATCCACCACCTAACTTCATTTCAAAAGCGAAACAAGAAAACAAGAAGCCTAAACCTAAAAAGATTAAAGATAAGCATAAGTAAGTTTCCTTGATTATTACCTAATAATATTTTTTTACTCCAAATTTGCATTCTCTATTATAATTAACAACAACTTTAGAATGTCAGGGCTTATTCTACGAGGGATGGCGGCATTTTTTCAATACATTCATTAAGTATTCCTTACAAAAACTGCTACAGTTTCTTAGGAAATGTTATTGCAATTCCCAAGTTATATATCAAAATAACAAATTTATTTTATAACTATATACAAGTCTTTACTTAGATTTAGTCATAGCTTTTGTGTCTGAATACAGTTGCGAGAAAATAATAGGTTAGAACATCAGAATGATTACAGATTTGACTGAAAATGACTGGAAAAAACAAGTATTTTAATAAAATATTTTTGAATACTTCTTGTTATAATCTTCCTTTTTGCTTCTTCTTAATTTATGTTTTCACCATTTCTAATGTAGTTATATAGTTACTTCTTAAAATGGCTGACATTTGTTAAATGATTTTCAGAAAGCAGAAAATAGATGGCGCTATCAATAATATGGAGGCAGTGAAGTTGGAAGAATTTGGTCCTATACCCTGCGGTAAACCGTATGGCTCATGGAAACCAGTTGTCAAAGAGTATGATAATAACTTTTCTAATACTTTTTTTGCATATTTAAAATTTTATTTATATCCAAATTTTTTATTTAAGCTAAATAAGTTTTGATTAGTATAACATAAAGAAAAATAAACCTTTTCTCCTGTTATGGAATATAATTTTAAATGATTAACTTTGTCACGCTTCTTATATTAAATTTTTCACTTCAATTCTTTGTTTAAAGCTAAGATAAAAAAAATCTTATGACTTAATATTCTTTTAGGGTAGTAAAGGAGATCAATTTGCAACTACCTAAAGTGGAACAAAAACCACTTCCACCAGTTTTGTTAGAACCAGAACACACACCAATAGAATTCAAAGAGAGTAAAGTCGATTACTCTTTAGAGGGTCCATCAGAGTTCAAGAAACGTAAGCTCAATAACCCTAAAAGGAACATGCGACAGAGACTGGATGATGAATAAACTTTTATATATGTCTGAGGTTTTATTTACTTACAGATTAATCTTATTTCTTACTATTTTATTGATATTTATATGAAGGATGGTTTGATCATAAAATTCAGTAGAATTTATGCATGAAAACAACTTTGAAACACTTGGTTTAAATTGTTTTATATGGTATCTCTAGCTTCTTTTCATTATTATTTTTGTTAGTATTTCAAACACCGTTTTATAACCATAAGTAAATAAATTCATCGGTACATACTTTGTACCTCCAATAGTTTTCTCATGGATCATAATATAGTATAAATAAAATATGTATATAAAACAGAGGAAATGTTTGACCGCTGCTGTCTTATGATAAAAACGTATGCAGAAATTACATCATGAAAATTCTCCAAAGTTCCGAACGTGTGGCTACTTTACTGCTCAAGACATTATCTTGATTTCATTAGTTGGTTGTGGTTGACAAAAACCCTTTTTGCACATTTCCACGAAGTCCAAACCAAGGAGGTTAGGTTTGTCAGATCCTGCAACTAAAAAACTGTTCTACAAGGTTAAAAAACACCTGGTAATAACTGACCGTTAATGTATAGAGTTGCGAACGAGACAGATCCTTCTAGAACTCATTTTTTGGCTCCCGTTGACAAAGACGAGCAGCGATTGACAATTACTTGTAGTGCATGGTCCCTCAGAAACCCAGAAAATTTATCGATAAAGCCACTGCCGGCACAATTATTGTTCCTGTAACATTTCTATAAGCTTTTGAGAGGTCAAGTAAAATTTTTAAAACTGTCCTCCAGAGCTCGCCCCTATAAATGTGTTTCATCTACCAGAAGATTTTGGTGTAGTCACTGAAAAGAACTGTTTATAAGTGTTTCATAAGGTGTTCATATAGGTAGGTACGTTGAGTCTGTAAGATAATGTACCTCCGTTAAGTCGGAAGATAATTGTTGAGGTCCGCAAGGCTTCTTTTTATTTCAGGTATCATGTTGGCAAGTTTCCAAGATTTATTCATTAAACCTTAAAAAAAAGCAGATAATAAATCTTCTCAAATCTGTTTTTTCTTATATCAATCTGGATAAATTAATGTAACATGGGTATTCATTCATTTTTTTTTTGTATATAATGTAGATCAAGAATGTTAAGTGATTTTTAAAGGAATCTGAAAGACTGTCGATAGTTAACAGTGTAGAGAATAGATTAGGTGAGTAAAATTTTATTGACGATGCAAGGCTCATTAAAATACAGGTAGCTATAAGGACACTTAATTTTAATCGTGTAGGTATTATAATTAAGGTGAACTAGAAAATAGAGCTTGCCGTCGAGAATAACTAAACCTTTATAGTATCTAGGTACTTATTATAATTTTTTTTTCATGAATTCTTCTACGACAATAAAATTATTATAACCTTAAATTCTTCATTATACAAATATCGAAGCAATTTGTGACCAATAATACTTCAAAAGCAATATACACTTCATTTGTAATGTAAATAAATTTATAACTTATGTAAATACCACCAATTATACATTATTTACGCTGAATGAATTAACATGGGTTTATTTAGGTTTAAAAAGGGTTTCAATTTATGAACTCGATTGATATAAAAATATAAAATGTAAGATCAATTGTCTATGCGACATCATATCTCGAGCAAATAAATTATTATTATGGGAAAATGTTTTAATATAATCAATTTGGCCTTGAAAATATTGTAATAGATCGTTCATTATATATAAGGTATGGCGCAAATGCAATAAGTACCTACTAGTCTAATTAGCCTCATACGTGATTGAATAATCGTTATCGTATTAGGGTAGGTAAGTGTTCACGGGGGTCTAAAGGAAACTTTTGGAGGTTGTTTTTAAAAATTATTGAGAAGATATCAATAAACAAAAGAAAGAATCTATCAATTTACTGGGTCACTATTATAATTTGGTAAAAGTGTTGCTACTATTAATAATTATACAGTGAACTATATCTCTTTCATATCTTGACGTTCAATTAAGTAAACTCTTAATCTATTTAAACTCAGTAACAAGTAACTAATATCAATTTATCATTTATTCATGTAGGTCCACTCTATATATTATCTATGGTTCAATAGCACAGAATGCAACGCAATATATCAACTGATGCAATTATGCATGTAGAGGAATCAATTAAATAATTACAGTCATGTTGTCACATAATAACTTTATATAATAGATGTTTTATAGTAATTGTAAGAATAATTACATATAAAGCGGATACGGATATATACATCTACATATTATATGTATAGGTATATATTTAATTTAAGCGATGACTTATAAAAACAAAATTGGGATCAAGATATCAGAGTATTAATTTATTTTGTAATTTAATTTAACACTTTCTACAAAAATATTCAAAGAACCCTTGCTACATTGTAATTACCAACTTTTGTACGTTGTAGGTCTTCCCGCTTACAATAATAAAGAGCTGGAATCAAATTAAAAGTTGTTAAATCTGATCATTTTCTATTAACTTACTAAGTTTTTTGACCTAATTTTTAGCATTTTTATAACTATGATTTCATAAAATATTTTCCATTGTAGGTACAAGATAATTCCCATAGTAATATCATTGCTCATTGGAGTCCTTATTTCAGGGTTTGTAAGATTTGTATGATTTTTAAAAATCAAATGTGAAGGTAACGACTAGGATTAAAAAATTATATATTTATATATCAGCCACGCCCGGGGTAAGGAATGGTTTGACGAAATGGGCTTAGTGGCACAAATCATCCCGACTAGCTGACAAGAATTTAAGTTGATCTTTAAACCTCGTGATATTGGAGAAATATTCATGAACCAGCTTTGACTAGTATGTATTACTAGGTATTTCAATGGAAACCATTAACCACTGACAGATATTCAGGCATCGATATATTTTATTTAACAAAAACCTTCAAAACTCATTGAAATTGGGATTCTTATAACGGGTACGAGATATTTTTTGTTTCTACTTAATTACTTATCAAGAGCCATTTTTTAAGATTTACGAATATGTTGTAAAAGTTGTGTTTCCTGAATGTTCCTCATCAAAAACCCGAAGATTCAAGGTCAATGCTTATCTATTAGGAAAAGAACGTAGTTCGTTATATGAATACAGGTGTCTTTTATTTGTACATTGTAAAGTATTTCTATATGTAGCAATTTTTATTTTGAAGACCTCCACATAAAACACCGCATGATTCGTTTATTTTTAAATATAATTTTCGTGCCCACGTTAGAAAAAAAATATTAATTACAATTTTATACATTTACAACGAACCTCAAAACATGTATACAGATAGCTGTTCTAATTGGCATCAAAAGCCGTTTAATGCATTTATTAAAACATTTTCTTCTTACTCTAAAATCTAATAGATAAATATATGAATCACGTACCTACGTATATCTGAATAAAGATATCTAAATTGAGTAAAGCGTACACTAAATGCTACAAAAAATCAGAGGACGATCGGCGTCGTGTTATTTTGAATAGGTTTTTAAATTGGTTGCTTTTGTTTCATACAATAAATCTCGTCTTAGCTATACGTACCTATTGTTAGTTTGATCCGGTCTTATTATGGAAATGACACAGTGATCTTAATGGTTAATGCGACATTGTGATCAACGTTTATGTCTGTATCATTGAACGTTTTGAATCTATTAGTTTTTCCGATCACGGATCGAACATTGTTCCTCGCACATATATAAGAAACAGGATCCTTTTGGACTGCATTGAAGTCACAGCAGTTGACAACAATCCAATCTAGTGTTCATACGATCTAGACTTGCGAGTTGTTGTGTTACCGAAAATATCAAACAAAATGTACAAATTGGTGAGTTTTTAAACATATTTCATCCTTCTCATACATTTTTTATTTTTTTTTGTGTATTTATCTAATCATCTGTACATTCGTAACGATCAATTCTGTAATATAATAATTTGTTTTATATTTTTTGAGTTAACTCCTATAAAAATTCTTGTGGATCTCAATATACCTAATATCAATATTATTAACTAAAACTACGTAAATTTTCCAGATGTTTTTCATCCTGGGCGCGATGTTATTGGCATCAGTGCTAGCCAAGCCCCAAGTGATATATGACTACGGGTACTATGCACCCGCCTATGTCGCCTCCTACAGCGCCCCGCTAGCCTACTCCTACCCCTACGCCTACGCCTACTCCTACCCCCTAGCGTACGTGTAACCCCTAGCATATTCGGTAGTCGGTCAAGTGTCATATTTTTATCATTTGTGATATCTATATGTGATTTTGTCAGCATCACATAATTTTATTTTCAGTTCACAACTACTGTCTTTATAAACGCTTTATGTTATGTTGTAATACAAGTAATTATAATATTTAATAAAGGTTTACGTGGTTATATATATTTTTTTATTTAATAAGAAATCCTTATTAAGTAAGAATAGAAGAAAAGCTTTATTATTACTTAGGTCTAAATATTAATACCATTTTATCAATATGCATTCTATTAAAAAATTGGAAATAAATTTTGTGGTTGTATGTAAATTTTCTATTAAACAGCTAAATATTATATATGTACTTCAAAAGGTTCGTTGAATTTAAACATTTATCTTAAAGATCTTGCTGCGCCGTCACATTTATTGTAAGTTTGAGTCTACTTGCATATAACTAGTTTTTTGTCATTATATATTTCCTAAATAAACTAAAAAAAACACTTAAAAAATAAAAAAAACGCCACTAATTATTCAAATGTTTTAAAGAAATTTTCCTTTTTAAAAGGCCTGTAACATTAATTCTAAAAATTTATTTTAGTTGGGAACAGAATAGTTCGTTCGTGTCTTCAAAAACACACTTGTTCTATAGGTATATGAAACTCCATCTTTTTGGTTTAGGTGAAGAAAATTTACTTTTTTACGGCTCTAAATATAAGAAATAAATAAGATCCAAATAGTTTTGGTAATTTAAGTTGCATTGAGAAACAAACTCTAAAATAAGTCTCAAATTTCAGATGTTACAAATAATAATCATAGTATGAATTTCTATTGGTACAGCAATGTGATGGTAAATATTTCTCATATCATAAACTCAGTTTAAGGATATTTAAAATAATTTTATATTTAAATATATGTAAATATATTCAATTTATTTTGGGAACAGTAACAAAAGTCGCGATGTGATACAATGAAACTTAGAAAACAAACAAGGAAAAAGATATGTCTTATTTTATTCATAGAAAGAAACAAACGAGATTAAATATATTTAATATATGACAAATGAATCAAATTTATCGGTTACAGCTCATCATTATTATGACAAATCCAATGACACAATGATGATGGCACGCACAAGGCCTCATCAGAACATAGGTAGCATATATTTGTATGCAGGGCAGCGAACATTTTGACAGTTCTCACTATTTTTGTTACGTAACCATTATTTATAGTGAAAAATTAAGATAATATTAGGTTTACATTAGAGTTTATATAGAATAATGAAACTATTTTTTAAAATTTTCAAAACGACTTCAAAAAAGGAGAACGTTATCAATTCGCCTGTACTTTTTTTACGTTTGTTACTTTATAACTTTTGATTGGATAAAGTGATTTCAATTTGTTATCTGAAATCTGCTTCTCTTCATTTGGTCCTATTTAAATTTGATTCAGTTCTGATAATGACATCCATGAGAAAATCATATACAGGGTGACTGGTGAATTACTATCAATATTTAAGGAGAATACTCGGACCATGATTCTCATTCGAATTATGTAGAAAAAATAGGCACTTAATTTTTGACAAAATTTCCGTATAAATAAATAAAGTGTGGACACGTTCCAAGTGTTCCAAGTGTGGACGCGTGCGGCGGCGTGCGGATACAACACCATGCCGCCGCACGCGTATGTGTGTGTGAGTGTATACCTAATTTGTAGGATGTTCACACGATGCGTAATTAATTACATAACTTTTGGTTAACTTTACTTAGAAGTTTATTAATATTTATGTTATAATAATTTTTATTTTGTCATATATGATCATCAAATATCACGTCCTCAAGTATCGATAGTAATTCACCAGTCACCCTGTATAAGTAAACCTGAAATTAGCATCGTGTATGTGGCGACAAATCAACGAGTAACTTCAACGTCAATTGATTAATTATTTATTTATAAGAATGGAGTTCACAAAGCATGGAGCATGACGATTACAATAACACTCGATTATGGAATCCTGAGAAAATTGAGGAAAATCCTTAAAATGTGCAGGCATAAATAATATACATTAAGTAATGGCATTGTATAAGGTATGTTTGACCTTCGTAGTCGGAAGATAGATTTCGTAATCTCATTATTAACCGCTTTCATAACAGGACAAGGTTGTCATTTCATCAACGAAATTCTGTTTTTATCTGAAAAGTAGCGTTCTCCACGTGGTCTTCTTGTCACAAAGTCTAATTTTTTCGTTGGGATGATTTAAAAATTGAAGGAAATAGAAAAAATGGAAAAAATCCATTATTTTTATGTTGATCCACATCTGAGCAAGTCTTTTTTCACGTTTTTCGGATGACTCTTGAATACTTCGGGCTGTATTTTTTCCTCTATTACGCTTAAGACGTTGTTAATTTCAGATTCCTGAGCTCGACTTTTGTAATCCAAGATGCACGTAAGGCAGGTTCTCATCTTGAAACAGCTACTATATCATATATCCTTATTTTATAATTAAATTAAAGACAAAAAAAAACTTTTAATTGAAAAAATCAACCGACTTCCAAAAAACACCACAGGTACACAGGAACTAAAAGCAAAAAATAATTTTACATTTACATACTATTTCCTATAAAAACTTATTTAATAATAATCTGCACAAAAATCGACTAAACCAACAATGTAGTTAAACTTACATTATTTGTCCTTACTTTTCAATAATCTAATTTAATATCTAACTATATAAATACAATTTTTTTTATGTCTAATCACCTTTTGAAGTCGGTACCTTATACAGCACAGTAAAGTAACTAAACACTATTATACAATTGTAGAATATTTAATTAGAACGATCTAAAGTGACTTAAATCTATCGTCATCAGCCTATCAGAGCCCACTGCTGAGCAAAGACCTCTTTCTCACTTAATCACCACGCTTGCTCAAGACGGGTTGGTGATTTCAAACTTATAATTGTGAAATTATAAGTCCAGGTTTCCTCACGATGTTTTTTTTTCACCGTATGTCAGTGCTGTCTAAATACTCCTAGAAAGTACATATGATTCCGAAAGATCACATTGGTACTTGCCAGGATCGAACCCGCGCCCTCGTGTACGAGATTCGGACCCTTTGAACCACTAGGCCACCACTGACTTTAAACTGACTTAAACCTATATTAACCTACAATTATTCTCATAAAGTCGATATATTTAATAAATAACATAATGAGCTCTAAGACTGCCCAGTGCCCTGATCACAGTTGCTGAAAATTAATCGAAATGTCGGGAGTATGTATTTTTTTAAGAATAAAGTACGCATATTATAATCCTAAACATATTCGTTTCATGTCTATAAATAACATGTAATCGGTAAGAAAATAAAACCAAATATCTTTTATTGTTAACATAAGTAAGATCACAAGATAGGTACACGATCGAATATTCCGTAGCGAAATAATGATATCGCAAAAGACTAACGTCGTATGAGACAGTATAGATAGATGCACTCAGGTTCAAAATAAATAGCTCATTTCACAATGCAGGCAGCGATATTTAGTCACCAGTAGCGATAGTAAGTTGCAATTCTTCTATTTACTAGTCCTTGTTAATATAGCTGTACACTTAAGGCACCGACTTCAAAACGCTATTAAATATCAATTAAATTTGGTACATAGATTATTTAAAATCTAAATAGAAGAAGTTTTTCGTTTATCTACATTAATTTTTTAGTTAATTTGTAAGTAGACATCTAGAATTTAGAAGGTAATAGAAAGTAAAGTTTTTTGAAGTCGATTTTTTTACTTAAATATAATTTCATAAATTATAGGGAGAACTAAAAACCTATTTATAATAATATTAAAAAATTAACGACTGTGACGTGCCTTTGGATGCGTAGCTATTTATTAATCATTAAGATAGAAGGTTTTTTTATGAATCATAACAATGGCTATGTAGTTTCCTTATATATAAGGATAATTGGTTTTAAAATTTTCAAACCAACAAACACCCCATAAGGAAAGTTAAAGGAAATTGTTCTAAGCTAATAAAAACCTGTTTGTCAATCTCCATTCAAACCCATTTGTATGGGATTATCGACCGCACTTCAATATGCTTGATGCATAAAGGAAATTAATATCATTTTAAATTGAAACATATATCGAAGACAAGATTAACAACAGAAATTAAGTATAGGGTCTGAAAAATTCATACAGGTTTTGGTGTACGAAAGTCTTAACTACAAATATTCAGTTGAAGGTAAAGTTTAAATTTTATCACCTGTTATGTTAATTTTAACAATTTTATTCACGCTGTTATTGGTTGAAAAATTGTTTTAAGCGAAAAATCCGAAACCTGAATTGTTGTATCTAATGGTTTATCAAATGGTAGATCGTATTACATGAAGGGTGAAACTTTTTTTCTCAATATGGTTGACTTGCAAATGGAGCTTGAATGTATAAAGAGTATTTTAAATGTTACGGGCCTAATGTTGCAAAATATTTTATAAGTATTACTTAAAAAAATATATTTTTCAGCAATTACATAATAATTTGAATCTAATTGTTTTCAAATTGATTTATTAGAGTAAAACGTTTAAATTTATCATGATTATTACTATTCAAAAGATTTAGGTTAATTTTTTTTCCCTTCGTTCCTTTAATACATTTTTTCTTTTATTCTTAGATATCAAATTTAGGATTAAGAACAAATCATATCGATATATTATAAAAAACGAATACTTCTCTATGCCTAAAGGATAAATAATTTATTACTTCCAATGAATTTGATTTTATTGCGTTAGCCTTTGTCTTGATATTAAAACATTCATATTTTAAATTATAGTAATAAAACATCCATTAAGCATTACATATTTATTTTTAGTATACGAATATATTGCCAATTGAATATATTGTTTTCCTACTCAGTAGATATTTTAATCTTAGGAGAGATCATGATTTTACTATAGGTCTATAAATATGTCTATTTAATGTTAAACAAATCAAAACATTTATTATTATTGAACGTGTTTTAGAATGTCATATTTTTATTCAAAAGGACAATTTTATGAGTCTAAGTTTCTTTTCATCTATGTATGTTATATACGCTAAAATTGTTATATTGAAATTTACATAACTAGATATATTTTAGCTACATATTAATAATACAATAAAAAATAACTTAAAAACTATCTACATAAGCAATAATACATAGCGTTGAATAGAATAGTTAAACTTATTTTTAATATAACATTTACAAAGACCGTTTCACTTTTTGTCCGTAAGCTTTTGTGCTTATTCACATCACTGTCTGTCTGTGGTCTAAGCTACCTCCAGGTCCGAGTCATCTGAGTCATCTGTATATGGCCGTGGTGTTTGTGGTGCTTGTGGTGGTCGTGGTGGTGACAGCCGTGGTCTCGTGGTCACCAGCGCCCTGCCACAAACCCTTTCCTCCTGCAATTTCCGCAGTCTCTCCTGCTCTTCGCGCTTCTGTTTACGCCATTTTGCTCTACGGTTCTTGAACCACACCTATGAAATTAAAATTCAGGATTATATAATATCATTAAATTTTTTTTATTAAGCACTGGTTTCATAAAAATTCAGGAAAGAGAAAGATTGAATACGTAAGAAGATAATGCAAATAATTTTATGTTCAGAACACATTCACTTAGACGCTGTATTTTGTAAAAAATATGTTATTAAAAAGGTGAATATAATAATGATTTTTATTTTAATTGAAAGAAAATACATATACATAATAAACATATTACCAAATGAAAAGAGAAGCAGAATAAAAATTCTAAAAAATCTAAGTTTTAGTAAAATACATATTTGAAGGGGCTTTCATATTATGCTCTATAAATTCAGAAAACAATAAATATATCGGTAAATTAGGCACAGATTTTGATTTCTATTGTAGTACTACTATCTGATATTCAGGATATTTTAAGTTTACAAGTTCGTGTAAAGAAATATCAAAGTGATTACTATCCTATGTGAAAAATTAAAAATATTAATAATTAGGTTCGTATAAACACTTAATATAAAAGTCATCACATAATTTTAAAGCTAAAATTAGGTAATAAAATTTTATATAATTATAGGTATACAAATCATAAAATGTCTAATTCTTCTTCGTTGTAGCCAAATTACATAAAATAATATATGTATGTTTATTACTTTAGTATATACAATATACATATTACAGAAATCTATAGAAAAAATATCTGCAACTATTGATTTTAATTTAACGATCAAATATTAAATTACTTGTATTTTTTTAACTTGTTTAAATTGACACGGCAAAAAAGTCCCAAAATAAATAAATAAACCAAATGCCTTTGAGATAGTTTCATAAAGTAATTTAAAGAATTTTTCTATCAGTTATCATGAGAAATAATTTAAAACATCATTCATTCGAATGAAGTAAATATAAAGGGAACAAACCTAACATAATAAACTCAGAACGGTTGAACTTCACAATTTATTCGTTACACATAACTATTATATAAGGGAGATTATAATTCACATATAAAACATTTAGATCCAATCAACCGTAAACGCTTATATGAAAGTTCAAATGAATATTATTAAATGCGTTACAATTTTGTTGTATAAAAGCATTGTCCGCACACAATTCATACATTCAGACATCCCTGACCGCTACCGGGCTAACATGGTTAAAAAAATGTATTTGTCGACATCTCAATGATGTTTCTTGGTACATCTTCCACTCGACTTAACTTTTACAAGTGATATACTGTGGGTGGTCGTTCCTTGGACAACAGGCGGATCTATCACAACGCTTTTACTACTTTATTTATTGTAAATTTCTTAACAACGCTCCATTCATAATATATTCCTTACAAGTTAATGCGTTTTGATATACTGTAAACTACATTTAATACTTTGAATAGAAATACAGATCGAATGTATAACATATTTGAGTTCTGGTCCATATTTAAAAAGGTACAATTTAAGTTTCATTTTATTATATATAATATTCAATAGAATATAACATAAGAAAATCTACATACAAAACGGTATGTGTAGTTATAATCTTCTAAAATAAAAATTAATTTCAACCCGTACAACTATAGATAATATCTATGAAGTCGCGATACAAAACGTGCCGGTTTCAAATGTTGTTGGAGGCTTAAAATTAATTCGTCAACGACACCATTGTTGGCGTTAATTGCATTACAAGTGTCGGGCGGTGGCTCAACAAAGGCGTTATTAACTTTCGGAAAATGAGTGAGGAGCTTTCGCACTTACCGCCTTCCTTTCATTGTTAACTATTCATGCGGAAAATATGTACGATGCCAGGATCAGACTTTAGGGCGACTACTGACTGTGGACGCCCGCACATAAGATTAACTCGCACTTTTGTTGGTTCATTGTTTAATTTTATTGTATACCAATTCATAAATTTTTGCTTTCAAAATTTATATCCCTATCCTATTCTGAATAACCATTGAATTTGTGATTAAAACTGTACAATAGTTTTATAATCATCTTGAATATGTGGCAGAGATTTTTTAATTAATATTATACTCTCGTAGCTTCTGTGGATTTTATATACTATAAGGTATTTTTAAAATATAAATGTATTTAAAATTAATACGATTTCTTTTACATAAAATGCTGAAAAAAGATCCCATGTAACGATTAGAAAACTTACATCACGAATAAAATATTGATTAACAATAATATTTTCATATTCTTATTTATATACTTATGTAATTTAAATAAGAAACTAGGTATTATATAAAGAAATGATACGCTTATCAAAGAAACTGCTGAGATTCGACAAAATTACATCGAATATAAATTTAATATTGGTTCCTTTGATCTATTTACTAAGAAAAGCTTTCTTTCTATTTTAGTCACATAATACTTTCTGTACTAAGATCTGTTTGAAATCTTTATTTCTTATGAAAAAATAAATATTATTTAATTTTATCAAAAATATATTTAATGTCGGCATATTTACATATATGCATATTATAATGTAGTAAGAATAACACTCATCCATAATATAACAGAGAGGTGGGCTAAACTCTAAACCCATCCATATTCGGATTGAAAGCCTAGACCCAACGGTAGGTTATGATATAGAAAAATATATTTAAATTCTTTAGTTTTATAAATTTCTCAATTAATGGATGCCATTGGCGTTAAAGTCGTGATATAACATAACATAACTTATTTAAAATAAATCTCTTTGATAAATTAATTTAAATGAAACTAATATTTTGCAGATGTACCTACTACGCGACTTTACTTTTGATAAAAACTACATACAGGGAGTATAACGTTTCGGTTACTTTACAGCAACCGTGATCACGGGCAGACGAGAGTGAGTGAGTGTCACTTTAGTTTCAATTAAATGACTCGCGAAAATCTCAAATCTCATTAAATTAATTTATGATTACTAAATATATTAAAAACAAAACAATCGGTACATTCTATAGTTAAATAATGCTGGCAGATTTTTATATAATTCCGAAAATTCTCGTAGGCATTCAAATAACATGGGTTAAGCGAACCAGTTTAGGAAATCTCTTTCAGTTTAGAAAGCGTGTTTAGATGTACACAGTACAAGCAAGAGGAACTTATTATTGAAAACCATGGCGAACACCGAGGCACAAAGTTCGAAATATGTCTAGAGTTTTATACTTTAATTTGCAAATTAAACGTATATAAGGAGATAATAACCTTTAACCGAGATTATATGAACATATAACTATCAATTATTTAATTATATAAGATTAAAGAAACAAATTCAGATTCGACTTTGAAATCATAGATTGATAGATTAGCGAGTGATTGACATTCTAATTTAAAAAATCTGCTCATAACTTAATAGGGAATAATAGTACATACTAACTACCTTACTTTTCTTTTCTACGTACTATTATTTAAGGTACTATGCACATTTGCACGGATGAAAGGTATAAGAATTCTATTATTTCTTATACGTTAAAGAGCATAAATAGGGACGTATAAGCCTATTATTCATTAATAAAGGCTTTAAATCAATGGAGAAGTCATTAAAATGATATGAAGACAACAAATCTGCATTCAAACATGTTACGTACGAGGAACGCTAGCGGTCTATTGTTTTAAGCCAATAACAAATTAAATTACCAAATTCTATTATATCCGCTGCACTACACCGCATGCATATGTAATTTGAGCTCGTACACCAAAGACAAACATTGTTTTATTGAAAGACTAAACTGCATAGTAAATGTGTGTGAGTTTCGTCTTTGTTCCGGTTTAACGAGAACGTTACATAGCTAAGTATTAAACCATAAAGTCATACATACATTAGCTATTAATAACTTATAATTTCTAAACGATTTAATATAAAATACAAAGGCAGGCTAAAAAATTTTATCGTCATTAATATTCAAGCTAATTAATTAATTAATAATTATTATAATTTCAAAAGGTTCGTAAATTATAATAATTGTCAAATGTCAAATAATAATCAGAATTATGACAAAGAATTTTCACCTTACATAATTAAAAATGATGGGGAAAATTTTGTTATCAACATTGCGTATAACCGCTTTTGATCATAATGTTATATTAAAATGTCAAAGTTTAATTAACATCGCGTCATAATATATATTTATATTAATTTTCTAACAGGGAATAATATTTAAGTGTAATGTGTTTCGGAAGACAGCAGATGATGCCTGATGGTAGGGCGATATTCGCCCTCGGCCATCTGACCTCGCATCAACGCCTACGCACTGCCTTGCTTACACAATATACCTAAATGCTCAACAAAACAAAACATCACCTAAAAAAACATTACTAATTTCCCCGAAATTCATAAAACAAACCCTTCTTTCATGTAAACAATTATAATTACATTTGAAATCTACAAAATAATCATAAATAAATACATGACATTTATAGTCTTTGAAAGATATTTAATTTATTTCAAAATGTCGATCACGTCATTTAAACAATATGAGAATAAAAATTAGACGCAAAACAGCTCAGAATACAAACTATACGCTGTGATCTAATAGTTTTTATTTTAATAAATTACTCACACGACTTATAATATGTTATTATATCTTGAGCAATATTCAACAACAACAAATATGTTTTAAGAAAAAGCAACACTCGATTGCCGTCCATTCTAAATGTAAGGTCGTATCTGTTAAGTATCAATAAACATTAAACGGAGGGTTGAAGTGAAATGATGGTAAAGAAAATCGTGTGAACGAAACAGCTCGGACCGCAGACCGCAGAGCACAGAGCACAGACCCCACGGAACACAGAACACAGAGCACAGAGCGTAGAACGAACTTATTGTAATAATGTTGTTAGAATAAACACCGCTCACCCCCGCCTTGTTTGAGATTACAATTACGGTTTTAGCGAACTGATTTATTAATGGATCGCCTGATTCGCTCTTGATACTTTAATGTCGATTAATTTATATTCTACTATGTTATTTTTTGATTGATTTATTCCAAAAAGATATTTTTTTCAACCTAATTAAT